GTAGATTGAAAAGTTTGCCATTGAAATAATGGAAAATCGTTAGAATGTTGCTTTGTAACTGATTAGTTATTTTAGACATAGATTGATAACTCATTTAACCCTTCTAATGTAGCTGATTCCCTGAGGTTAACCCAATGAATTAGGCAAAGGCCGTCTAATGTGCATAATTGAAATGGCATATGGATTAAAAATGCACAGATCCCAACTACATATATCCATATCCATTGTCTTTGTCTCGGCTCATCATCTTGGGATAAACTCATCTATTAGTTGGTGTTTGTCTGTGCGATTCTGTTAGCCATTTCCTCGGCCATTTACCCCTGTTGCATAATTAATGGCATTAAAAGCGTTAACTGACAGTCAACACACTCCGGCACACACATGCGGAAATAGTTGGCATAATTTTGGGGCATTTCAATGAGGTCGATAATTTGATGGTTCAGTGGAGAGCAAAGGGATAAGGTCACAAACACACACGTACGCCCTCCCGTCGTCGTCTCAGATACATTTGTATCTTTTTTTGTGGCCATTCTATCTGCGTCTGATGCCAGCTACTTTTATCGTCGTCTGATATCTAACCTCGATGTGCTTGGTACGAAAATAATCAGTTTAGAGATGAAGAAATCCCAAGAACAACAAGCACCCCCAAAGCAAAAAGACAACAAGAGCATTCGGAAGGTATTTCCCCGGTCCCAGCGGCATGACTTTTGGTCCCAAAGCAACCCCAAAAATATATATATATATATATATATATAAAAACAACAAACGCGTAATGAAAAGCTCACTCGTATCCCCAAGATCCACTCAAAAGTATCTTTCACTCACTTTCACTCTCTCTCAGACTCAGACTCTCTGTTCGTTTTTCGGCGAGAGAAAGCGAAAGTGATTTCAACAAGTTCTCTTCCGGCCAAAAGGATAATCGTATCCTGCAGACGGCACGCAGCCCCGAGAACTTCAACCCCGCGTGCGAAAGTCTATTACAATACAAAAGAAGCCCAAGGAGGAAAAAAGCCATGAACTTCAGATAAAAAGCTGGGGGTTGGGAATCTAGGAATCCTTGGTCCTTCCAAGCGTCCTGCGAAGCGTGGAGCGTTAAGCCGAGAAAGAGCATAAATAAATAAAGCCCAACGCAACAATAGAAGCCCAAAATGGTGACTTCATCCTTGTCGACGGCCATGTTTTCGTGACGCTCCCGTTTTGTATTCTTGTGTATTTGTATTCTGTGTATTTTTGTTGGTGGAGAAAATGCCAAAAGGCATAGAAATGGCGCGAAAGTAAGTTTTCGCATTACTTTTCAAGCCTCCTTGGCTTTTTCGGTTGTCATTGCCCCATAGTCGTTGGCTTTATGCGACAATAAAGTTGAAAATTTTGAATATTATCGTTAGTGAAAAATTAGAGACAAGTTGGTGGCCTGGAGGCAACTCACCGCCTCCTCACCTGAGCTCCTTTTTTGGTTTCGGCGTGCGCCAAAAACGCTCTCGGCTCCTCACGGCCTGTTCACGCCATTTTCCAGATAATATCAGCGGGAAAAACTGGCTGGTAGAGTGGGTGGTTGTGGGTGCCTGGGTAGTCCTGGCAAAGCGATTTATGTCCTCTTGAAATTCATCATTAAATTTGTGTCCTGTTTGGCGATGCAAAGATAATGCCACAATTTGTTGTTCGCCCTGTTGCTGCTTCGCAAATTTACAGTTAATCGCCGCCTGGCTGCGTCGACAAACCATAAATACGTAAAACTTTCACTTTTTCGATAAAGATACTGGGAATTTATTTCAATTTTCTGTGCCTCTGATGGGCTGGATAAGACCTGAGTTTAGGGTTAAAAGTTATGGGTGATTTTTTAGAGGTTTTTAAGTAATTCTTGTGATTTAAACAAGTTTTAGCAGGTATATTATAAATTCATTATAAAAACCAAATAGATTAAAATATATTGAAAATATATTGGTTTCAATAATTATGTAATTTTTTAAACTCTTGCACTTATCAGTAGAAGCTTATGATCATTTATGAATATTGCTCAAATTTTTAAAAAGGGTTAACCAGATATATTATAATTTCATTATTAAAACTAAATAGATTGAAATACTTAAAAAATATATTTGTTTTAATAAGTATGTAATTTGTTAAACTCTTGCTCTTATCAGTAGAAGTTTATTAGAATTTATCAATATTTCTCAGTATATAAATTTCTTTTCGATTTTTAAAATTTTTTAAAAGACATATAAGTCACTTAAATTCTAATCGAAAATTCCCATTATTGCCATCTGGGCAGCTTTTATCTTTCCGCTCGAGATTCTCGAAATCTAGGGACTTTCCAGGCTGCTTAAAAAACAAATCTCCGCCCAATCGAAGGATACCGCCAAGTCGCGACCCCCCCTTCTCTCCCCAAATATGAATGACCAATTATGCACTTCGTTGGCGCTACGTGCCCGAGATGCCAATGGAGCCCATCGAAAATCTCTCCCGGAGGTGTCCCGATGTCATGTGCGAACATTTGATGATGCGTAGCTTTTCATTAAATGAAAATTTCGCGTTGCTGGCAAAACAAAAGGACAAAGAGGAGGCCAAAAGAGCTAACTTTGTTGGCTGAAAGCCCGGAAAATGGGAAAAGCCAGGCCAAGATGGGAGACACTTTGATTTATTGACAGGACGCGAGTGGAATTTTTAATTGCTCCCCAAAAGTGGGTGGTTGGTTTTCGATTCCTTGAATTGGTCAGGACTCGAATTCTCAGCTTGATTTCTCAACTGCAGTATAGCATCTTGAAGATAAGCGCGGAGGACATATGCAAATGGGGGAGAGCCTGTGAATTTATGTGTCCTGTCAGGATATTTTGAAAACATTGTAATCCAAGCGAGTCTGAGGGGCAGGATGCTTCCGAGAAAGTCAATTAGCTGCCCATAAAAATGCAGGCTATGTTCGAGAAGTGATGATGGCTCCGGTGTCCCAGGGATGAAGTCATCGGTGGGCAAGTGAATTTTTTGGTTCGCCCATCGAAGATCCTCTCCTTCGGCCACTCGATACGTATTCAAATTTCAAACTGCAGTCGCATCTGCGAGTTTCCACGTTCGTTTGCCGGCACTGTAATTCGATATTGTATCTGACAGATACACGGCTCTCAATTCCCAATTCTCGGGGGATGGCAGTCGTCGAATGCTTGTGTTAATGATGATGAGCCCGCTACGATGCTCTTTTTTTCCGTAATGGATAACATCCATCCACTCACATCTGTTTTTTCACTGCAAAGTCCAACAAGTTCACAGTTTCGATAAGCCCCACACGCCGCTTGGCCTTTAAAGCTAAATAAACAATTGGAGAAGCTATTTTTGACAAGACAAAGTTTATATACTCTTGACATTAAAAGTAAAATATTATAATCGTTAGCTTAAAATTTGTAAAAATTATTTTTATACATTTTATAAGAATATAATTAGCAATAATAACAGTCTTCATAATTTTTTAAACTATATTATTCAAATATTTCCAAACATTTTAAAATTTGTATGTTTAAAAGTTTAATATTTTAAAATATTTTCTAAATAGTTAGCAAGTAGAGAAGTTCAAAATAGTTTTCTAAAGTTTTAAAGATACTATAGTTATTGTACCCTCTTCAAGGGTATCAGAATCACGCATAAAGCAAAATAATTATTTGTAAACACTTTGTGATTCAAATAGGTTGCGCTTAATGGAGACTGCTCACTGGTACAGCGTTTTATCAGTTTTAATTTTAATTGAAATTATAGCTTTTTGGCATATCTCGACGCCAGTTTCTTATCGCCTAAGTAATAATTTATGGACTATACTTCGGGATAAGTACTCCACTCGCAAGACCTATTTAGAGCTAGCACATTTTAACATTTTAAAAAAGGGCCAGAGATTCGGCAGCCAAAAAAGTGTCGGAAGTATAAACAAATTTGCGACACCCGTCATATTGGAAGAGGACATATGCAGAGGCCACCCGCTGGCCAGAGATCAACCCTCCTCATCCTTCTCCTCCAGCTCCCAACTCCCTGCTAATTTGTTCAATTTGTCGAGTGAGGAACAACACAAAAAAATATGATGAAAATTGCCGGCACAACGCCGCTTTTCCGCCACCCCGCTGATCAGAAGGGAAAATATTATTTCTGCACAAATAAAAAGGGAGCAGGGAATTTTCGATAGGGCCGTATCATGTCGCCGGCGGATGCATAAAAGTATTTCAGCTTCAGCATTTAAATGCACCGCACACGGGTGTCAGTTTCCATTGGATCGGATTGGATTGGCTTGGATTGTATAGGATTGGGCAGGGCTCGCATCCTGGCCGCAGGACATTCGCCGGCTGTCACCCCACTTATCGCAAGGGCACTCACTATGGCCCCGGGGCAAACATCTGCCCAGAAAAGGCGAAACAAGTGGCAGCAAAAAGGCGCAACCCGTCATTAGCGGCTCGTAAAGTCGCCTTCGAGGACGGGAACATCGTAAAGACTCTTAATTGAAGCCGGCATTAATGAACAACTGATTGATAATTGCCTGGGCAAAGGGGAAAAGCGATTGCAATACCATTTATGGATCAAAATACTTGCCTTTTGTAAGCAGAGAAACTGCAGAAATGTTTGTTATTAAATTATTTTAAATTCTATATTAGGTGTACAAAAATATAACAAACATTGTAGATCTTTGATCCAAATAAAATAATGGAATTTAGAATTTTTCGAACCAAACTACTGTAAAAAGGAATTTTTTAATAATTTAAAAATAGATTCAAAAATGTTTGCTATTTAAATATGAACTCTATATAAATTAAGAAATTACATATCATATTCCTAGAAATATATCAAACATTTTTAAACATTAATCCAAATATGACATAATATTTTTTGGGACCAAATTACCTATTATAGGTAATTCTTCTGCATAAGAAATGTTTTTAGATTAAATAAAATATATTTGATGTTCCTGTAATATTTTCTGTGTGTATAATTTTACACTTAATCCATAATTTAATCGTATCATTCTCTCTTTACAGCTTCTTCCTAAAGTTCTTCTTGAAATGCAATCAAAACTGTCTGAAAAACGCCGGCAACCCGCGGGACATGCGCCGATTTCAGGTGAGTTTAGTGCAGGATCTTAAGCCCACCGATTGATATTAATGGATAATTTCGCTCTTTCCTCCCAACCAGGTGGTTATCTCCACGCAGGTGGCCGTGGACGGGCCACTTCTGGCCATCTCCGACAACATGTTCGTGCACAACAACTCGAAGCACGGACGGAGGGCCAAGCGGCTGGACACCACGGAAGGTACAGGCAACACATCCCTGTCCATTTCCGGTCACCCCCTAGCGCCCGACAGTACCTACGATGGTCCGTAGCAAAATTCCAATTATTCCGACCAAACTTTTTTCGTTTTACGTAGAATCCAACAAAGATTTCCCTCTATTTTTATTTCTTACGTAGCAATTGGCATAAACTGAAGCGTTGGCAACTGTTTTAGGATCTAGTAACTAACCTTTTGAATCTCTGAAATTCTTTTTATAGGACTCTATCCACCGCTGCCCGTGGCCACGCCCTGCATCAAGGCGATCTCGCCCAGCGAGGGCTGGACAACAGGTGGCGCCACCGTGATCATAGTGGGCGATAACTTCTTCGACGGACTGCAAGTGGTATTTGGAACCATGTTAGTCTGGAGCGAGCTGATCACCTCGCACGCCATCCGGGTGCAGACCCCACCGAGACACATTCCCGGCGTGGTGGAGGTGACGCTATCCTACAAGAGCAAACAGTTCTGCAAGGGATCGCCCGGTCGCTTCGTCTATGTCTGTAAGTAATCGCAGGTCCATCAAGTATCTTTCCTACTCCATATCTAACCTTTTTCTTAACGCCTTAAGCAGCTCTCAACGAACCCACAATCGACTATGGTTTCCAGCGCCTGCAGAAGCTTATACCCCGTCATCCTGGCGATCCCGAGAAGCTGCAAAAGGAAATTATCCTGAAGCGGGCTGCCGATTTGGTCGAGGCCCTGTATTCCATGCCCAGGTAAGGATAGCATTGCTCATATAATATAGGTAACCAAACAGAAACTAATACTCAACCCGTGTTGCAGCAGATCCCCGGGCGGCTCGACGGGCTTCAATTCGTACGCCGGTCAGCTGGCGGTCAGTGTGCAGGATGGTTCGGGCCAGTGGACCGAGGACGACTACCAGCGGGCCCAGTCCAGTAGCGTGAGTCCACGTGGTGGCTACTGCAGCAGCGCCTCCACGCCACACAGCTCGGGAGGATCGTATGGCACCACGGCGGCCAGTGCTGCGGTGGCGGCCACGGCGAATGGCTATGCTCCTGCTCCCAACATGGGCACACTCTCCTCCTCGCCCGGCAGCGTCTTCAACTCGACGTCAAGTAAGTTTATTGATCCGTGAGGGGATTCCCTTTGAATTACTCATCTAAAAGCCCTGCATTCGGTATTCTCAAGGGGTCCTACACTTATAAAAAAATTGATAAGATATTATTCAAGGGTAAAACTAAAGCATTTAAATTTATCCGTGAATGTGAAGTGGATCCTGAAATTTTTTCTGTGTAATATTGGACATTTTCTTTAGTCCATAATTATAAATTTTACTTCCAAATTCAAAAAATTCTAAATTGTTTAATTCTTCGATAAAAAAAAAGTTCTTAAAATGCACATTACAAAAAAAATGGAACCAAAAAATTGATAAGATATTATTCAAGTTTACCCGTGAATGTAAAGTGGATCCTGACATTTTTTTCTGTGTAATATTGGACATTTACATTATTCCATATTTAAAAAATTTTATTTCCAAATTAAATTCAAAATTTTTTTTTCTTTGAGGAAAAAATTATTTTTAAAATGCATATTATAAAAAAAAAAATTGAACCATTTTTGAAAAAAAAAATTAAAAGTTTTGAGACTGTTATAGAAAATGATAAGTATACTTGTCAAGATATAGGAATTCACTTAATGAAAGAATTTAATTTGAGTACCCTTAACATCTTAGAAATCTTAGATGATCTCATGTTCCCATCATCTCTTAATAAGGAATACATTTCCTTCCAATCGAACCCCTGTTTCAGAACTCCTTTATTTGTGTTTATAATCTTCAGTTGATTTTAGCTTATGTTTGTATAACTCTCACATGAATACCGCCCCACATAAACTGCAAAACGCTCGTCTCCACACCCCAAATATTCCCCATTTTCCCCCCCAAAACCCATCCCAAAACAAAGTGAACAAAGTATGCTCAGCAAGTGCATTTTCGCCATTAATTCCAACAGTGTCCGCCGTGTCGTCGACGTGGCATCAGGCGTTCGTGCAGCACCACCACGCGGCCACCGCCCACCCGCACCACCACTACCCACATCCCCACCAGCCGTGGCACAATCCAGCCGTGTCAGCAGCCACGGCGGCGGCCGTTTAAGCGTTTTCCCGGACTCCCCAGAATCCCAAAATGCCAGCTAGCCGGAGGAGCTGAACGGAGGATGAGGATGACCTTAGGATGAGCCGGACTTTTGGGCAGAGTAACGACATTTTGTTGAAATTAAATGCTTCACGCCCAACAAAAACACCACCCAAAAAACGAAAACACACACACGGCCAGACACCATCTATCAATCCGAAATCTGCAAGGACGCCCACAAAAATTTGGAGTGGATGGGTGGTTGGGTGTGTGACCGAGCAAATCTGAGCATTCAAAACACACACTTCTACCATCAACAAAACACCACAGACAACACACGATTAACGGTATTTATAATTTCCATTTTCACTAAGATAAAAGACCCCTAAATATAAGTAGATAAATGTTATTATTTTGGTAGATTTGTGTTTAAAACTTCTTAATTTCTATAAGAGCTTAAGAACTAGAAATTTTAAACCTTGTAAATTATATTTCCCATTCCTGAGATCTCTATTAATTCCATAAAATCCCCATTTCTTTCTATTTCCAGGGGTCAGCAGCCTGAGTTTCAATCCCTTCGCCCTGCCCACCTGCAACACACAGGGCTATAGCACCCAACTGGTGACGTCAACCAAATAATATTACTACTAAATGAGGCTATTGGCAGGCCCCAAATCCCCTACTCCCCCGGAGATACGCAGATATCACGCCAATTACAAGAAGCTCGAAAGTGCAATAAACAAAAGAGAATGGTTCCAAAATTCAAAACAAAAATCTATCGATATAGTTGTACATTTTTTGATTGTATCCCGTTTTTAACTTTTAATTTCAATACGCCTCGGTTATAGATTTATACAAATACGCATAGAATACCATATCAAAGTAATGGAAAACATATGAAAGAGGGAGGCATATCATGCAGCAACAGCTTAGATCGGGCAGATATAGTTCTAAAGTAGCTTGATTAAACACTCAAATTTTGTAAATATTTATCCCAAAATAAATAAAACTTAATAATAATCGGAACTGTGAATAGAGGAAATTATACCAATTTATATACCCATGATGATCAGTACTAATACGAATCCAGATATACCAAAACAGATACAATTTGAACGAACTTTTGGACATAACTAAATGCTTGTATACGACACTTTCTTGGATATATATCGAAAAAAAAATACAAAAGAAAAATAAAAGTCTTGGAAATACACTCTGCCAATTGAGAGAACCGAAATCAAAATGTTATATACCTACATAGATATACAGCCGTATTTATGGCGACATTTGCAGCATATCTAAGCGTAATATTACAACAAATTTATACCAAACTTTTGGCAAACATATCGTGCACTTAGTCCTAATATCCATCTCACGCGAATCCATACATATTTGTATAATGCCCATCATATCCGCAACTCTAAATTCCACTCCCTATCAACACCAAATCATCATAAGATATACATTTCGCTATTCAAGTCAGAGTGTTTGATAAACTACCGATTTGTTGACTAGAATCTAAGCTAAGCATACACTATATATTTAGGCCTAAGTTTATTGTTTATTGCTCGATTTGTAGGAGTTTTACTGTAATTTGTATTCGTATTGTATGATATTGTATGCTTGCACTCCTAGAACTACAGAAATAACGAAGGAAAATACGAGATATCTATAAGAACCGCATCAACAGCAGAACTTAGCCGCAAAATCGATTTGTAAATTACAATACAATAATTTATAATAACAATCTAGCTACGCTCTCTGTTTTGTAAATCTTAACAAGTTATTTAAATAAAATTTATTTAAAATAAACGTAATAAACACGATGATACCGCCTTTTTCTTACTACGTCATACAGCTTTATTTCGGGAAAAATGATTTGTGGAAAATAAGTTGAATAATCAAAGTATTTGCACTTGATAAAAGAGCATAAATTAATAATTGAATACATAACGTATGTATATAGTTATTTAACCTAATCGAAGGCATGCAGAGACGCCCAGTTGTTTCTGTTCTGTTCCTTTTATTTATTCGCTTCCTTAATCCTCTGGGTAAATGTAAATGGGGTGCCTACTCATCCTTGGCGGGCGCCGAGTCCTCGCTCTCCTTGAACAGAAGCTCCTGGATCTTGGAGCGCACGTACATCTTGCGATTAAGCGACAGCTGCCGCATGACGGGCACCAAACTAAGGGCGAAGTAGTAGTCGTCGTCCTTGGTGTGCTCCTCGTGATTCTGCTGGATAATGTAGCTGAGCTGCTCGCTAACCGTGGTCAGTCGGTCGATGGAAGTCTCCAGGTTGTTCTTTAGCTGCTTGGCCGAGTTGTTAGTGGACGTGGAGGCGACCACGGTGGCCTGAACAGTCGAACCGCCTGCACTTTGCCTGCTGCCCCCGGCGGCGGTGGCGGTGGAGCCACTGATCAGGGTGACCTGCTTTTCGCCGTGCTCCAGCCCATGCTCGTCCTCCATCACATGGATGGGACTGTAGCACAGGGGATCCTCGCTGTAGATAATGTCCTTGATGTCCTCGCCGATCTCATCGTTCTGCTCGTACTCCTCCCACTTCTGCGGCAGGGCACCCGACTCGCCCAGATAGCTGGCGACGTTGGACTCGATCTTCGGCTTGGCCACGCGCAGCGGCTCCCTCAGCGTCTTGGCCTTGGTAATCCGCACGGTTTTCTCTGTAAGCCAAAGGATGGGAGATGGGCATTACGATACATATTGGTACAGCTGCCGAATAATAACAAATATCAACGATAGTTTCCCGCCGTCCCAAGGGGTCGATAGCCCGCCATAAGAGGAACACTGCCAGGTGAGTTTTAGGATTACCTTTCTTGATGATCGGGATCATGCGCGCCTGGGGACGCTGCTGCACCGGGCTGACCAGGACCTCGTCGCTGTGCTTGTGCCGCAGATGCGTCCACAAATTGGTCGTATTGTTGCCCTTCAAATTGCTGGCCATGCCACCACGCGATATATTGTTGCCGCAGTAGCGGCATATCGCAAAGTTCTCGCACTCCTCGTTGATATCGTAGTGCTGCCACACATTGCTCACGCGACCCTTGGGCATTTTTAATAGCTTTTCTTTAGGTAATTACTGAGTGAAAAGGAATTTTCTCCACGAAATTGTCTTTTTGCGATATTATAAATCGGGCCAGTGTTGTCAAGTGCGCGCTGCGGCAGTGTTGCGCAGCGTCCGCGCATAGGGGTGAAAAAACAAAGGCCGCACGACAAAAAAAAGGTGAAAAACAAAAATAAAAGGGGTTTTTTTTGGAATAAAAAGGGGAATTAATAGATAGATGGGTAACAAATTTTGAAAATATAATTTTTTCTAGTAAGAATGGCCATAAATCCCAGTTAGAACACTTATCTAGCAAACACTGGCTGAGGGAAATTTCGGTATCTGTACTATTTTTCAGGAGTTCCCCTTAGGGGGTTTTAGTTTTTCCCGCGCCAAAATGGAGCAGCCTTCTGCCGATGACCCGTGGATTTATCGCGATGATCCGTGCTCGGTTTCTACGGCACGGAGCACGCGTGGCAATGGTTTTCGGAAGGGCGTGCGTGAGGTTTTCAGATCCCGAACTTACCGTTACTGCTGTTCGAGTGGAGGCACCGGTGGCGCAGCAGGGATCCCGTCCCGGTTTTGCCGCTGTAGGAGAGCAGGTCGCCGCAGGTCTTGCAGCAGGCGTAGGGCTCGATGTGATCGTCGCACTGGACGAGATTGAAAAACCTCCAGACGCAGCTTTTCGTGTTCCGGGGCTCCACCAGTTTGCAGCGCTTGTCCCCGGATTTGAGGAGGCTGCGCAGTTCGGACTTCTTCTCCACATGCATAATGGTCGGATCGGCTGGTGGTGATTTGGAAATTGGTTTGGCGAATCCAAAACAAATCCAAATTATAAAATCCACACAAATACAACCAAACTCACGAAAATTCAGTCACGCACAAAACAGTGTTGGAAAGCGGGAGCGGGCAGGGTGCAATGAGTGCAAGGTGGGCGAAGGTTTTTGTTTTTAATTTCTTAGAAATGGTTTTAATTAAGTTTCTTAGTTATTTAATTTATTTTACAATTTTTTTTTCTAATTTATTTTATTTAAAAGTTTAAAATTAGCTGGTAATGACAGTTACCGATAACCTTTAGTAAGCAGTTATCGATTAACCAATTGAGTCAGAATCATTTTACGAATCATTTGTTTTTTTTTTCGAATTCTAGTTAACTAGCTAAGCAAAATGTCGCGGGCTTCCTACAGCCAGGACTACATCAAGGCCCAAATAGATGCCGGCGTCCTGCGCTTCAGCAACAAGCGCAGTCGCAGCAAAGTGTGGGACGTCTTCGCCAGGATCGAGGACCAAAGTGGAGCCGCCATCCAGGACATTGTCATGTGCAGGACCTGCAACAGTCTGATGAAGTACCATGGCTGCACCTCGAACATGGTGCGTCACAAGTGCTACAGGACCAAGGTCTTTAGTCCGCAGGCCGAGGATCCCCTGGGCAGCAGCTACGAGGAGAAGGAGGAGGAGGAGGAGGATCCCAGCAGGGATTCCAGTTCCACCGACAAAGTCACCCAGGCGGTGATGGAGTGGTGCGTCCGCAACTGTCGTCCTTTAAATATTGGCCAGGACTCGGGGCTCCGCAATTTGGTCTCCGTTATTCTGGACATTGGCTCCGAGTACGGACGCCATGTTTCCGTGAATGATCTCCTCCCGGAAATGGGAGTGGTCGCCTGGAACATCGACAACTGGTACCAGGAGAAACTCAAGCAGGTGCGCTGCCATATGTCCAGCATTCGCACAAATGGTTATAGCATCGCCATCGCCGAGGAAAAGCCGTCTTCTGCCGAGAGCTTCTTCCTCTCCAGCACCATCCACTACATCCTGGAAGGACGCAAGTGCACCCAGCTGCTGGGGATGAGCAATGTGCCCAAGAACCAGTCCTCTGGAGGTAGGAAAATCCATTAAAGTCATGGGAAATCTAGGAAATCTCTTAGTATTGACAAAAAACCAGGGACCGTAAATAACAGTTATTTGTGATTATACCCGTTACTCGTAGTGTAAAAGGGTATATTAGATTCGTGCAAAAGTATGTAACAGGTAGAAGGAAGCGTTTCCGACCCTATAAACTATATATTCTTGATCGGGATCACTAGCCGAGTCGATCTGTCCGTCTGTCCGTCTGTCTGTCTGTCTGTATGAACGCTGAGATCTCGGAAACTATAAAAGCTAGGAGATTGACATTTTGCATGCAGATTCTAGGAGTTCCTACGCAGCGCAAGTTTGTTTCAAAAGGGTGCCACGCCCCCTCTAACGCCCACAATCGCTTATATACGATTTTTAAAATTTCAATATTTTGGAAAAGTAAAAATGCAGTTTTATTGTGTTTATCAATACCTATCGAAATGTAGAAGAAATTTTTTAAATCGGACCATTCGTTAAAAAGTTACGGCGGATCAAAGTTTTTCTCCATCTCTTTCGCACTCCCTTTAGCTGAGTAACGGGTATCTGATAGTCGGGGCACCCGACTTGTTTTTATTTTAAAAAGACTACTGTGATATTTGGTTTTAAACGTCAAAAATAACGTTCTTTTTACTCTTGTCCACAAAGTATATGCATTTCAACAAATCTGGAAAGCAAATTAACTGTTATTTGTTCATGTCTATAAAGTGCATAAAAACCAGTTAAATTGTTGATTAAAACTTGTACAAATCTCAGTAGGCCTTTTAAAATAAAAATCACAAATAACTGTTATTTACGGTCCCTGCAAAAAACAAATGAATCATGTATTTTGTTTATTAATTATTGAATCCTAAGATTAACAAGCCTATTACTAATTAAAATATACAATTCCAATGAAAAAAAAAACAAGTCCTCTGCAGGTAGGAAAATCCATTAAAAAGTGATAGGAAATGTATTAAGAGATTTCTATTGGTAAAAAACAAATGAATCATGTATTTTTTTTAATAATTATTGAATCCTCAGATTAATAAGCCTATTGCTAATTACAAATTACACTTCCAATGACTTATCCCCATAAAAAACAAGTCCTCTGCAGGAAGGTAGATCTATAGAGAGTCTTAGGAAGTCCAATATTTCTTATAAGAAAAACAAATTATGTGTATTAATTAATGGAACCTCAGATAAGAAATATTACTAATTATAATAACACTGTTCCAATGAATAATCCCCATGAATTGAGTCACTATTGACATTTCCTAACATTTTATCTATTTTTTAGTTTCAGAAACTTACATCCTCAAGCTGATAGAAGGCAGTCTTAGGATTTTAGAATGCGATCTGTTCGATGATGACCCCATTTTTGTGTACGACGAGCGGACGAGCTTTAAAACCGTATTCGAAAGCAGAAAAACCTTGTTCTGCATCAATTCCCTACTCGATAGAGTGGTGGAGAAGGCCTTCAACGAACTCAGCGAATTGGGAAGCCTATTAAAAACAGCCAAGGAGCAGGTCATCCTGGGAGTGCTGCCCACGCCCTTATCAACCGGCCTGGTGGAAATCTACCACATTTTAAAGTCACTGGAGGCCAACTGGGCTATTATTGCTAGTGAGGATGAGAAGGTGATAGAGGGCTGTGAATTAGCCGGTCTGGTGGGTATTAACAACCTGCTGGCGCACTTTGAGAAGTGCTGCCAGACGCTGGAGAGCGGAACGAGTCCAACTTTGCACCTGGTCATACCCCACATCCACCGGCTGAAGAAATACTGCGCCGGGGAGTCCAGCCATGCCATGGAAATGGATCTGAAGAGGGCGCTGATGGAGAACATCGACTGGCTGGTGATGCCGCACATCACCAAGTACCATATGTTGGCCCACTTTCTGTTTCCGCCCACCAGCAGGCTGCTGCAGTTCAGCCAGGAGGAGCGCGATGATACGATCGGTAGTTGCCAGGAGTTCATGAAGCGCTACTGCAACCCGCAGCAAACGGAAAGAGTGGAGCAAATCCTCATCAAAGGCGAGGGTGAGCTAATCACCGAACGCGACTTGGAACCGGACGATGATCTCTTCTCGGACTTTGTGGCCACCGACAGTCAGGAGGACAAGATTGCCAAGGAAATCAGGGGATATCAGGCTATACAGATGGCCTACACTGAGGGATTTAACGTGCTCGACTGGTGGCACTCCAACCGCCAGCACTTTCCGCTGCTCTACAAGACAAGCTGCCAGATTCTGTCCATTCCCGCCAGCAAAGAGCCATCGGCGTTGGTTCTCTCCCAGGCCAGCAGCCTGATAAAAGATCCTTCTTGTGGAATGGACGAGCTGCACCGGGTCATGTTCCTTAAAACAAATGTGGGAGAGGGCACAGAGCATTACCTGTAAGACACTAAATACCTGAATTTATATACAAGTCTGATTTACTTTCCCATCAAGTGTGTTAGGTTATTAGAATAATTTCCATTTTATAATCGTGATCGAGAACTAGCACCAAAAATATACATTTAATCGGGTCAAATTTGAAATAATCCGTTAATAAAATAAATAAAAATTGTAAAATTACAGAAGAAATTATGGTTTTGAGAGTAGTACTATAAGTTTTAGGAGTGTTAGGTAGGTAAAAGTTAAACAATTAGTGTTTCTTGTTGGCATTTTATATGCTTCACTAAATCTAATGTTTGCTCCAATTGTAAAATGCTCCAGTCGCAAAATGCTCCAGTCACAAAATGCTCCAGTCGCAAAATGCTACTAAATTGATTAAGATAATAGTTAAAAAACATATCAGAACATTTTTAACATATCCCTTAACCACGGTTGCCACTTCAAAAATTTTTTTATGAGCCAAAAATAGATTAAAAATGAGTAAATTTGAAATCCTTAAACTGCGTTCTAGATGGCGATTACACTTAACAGAGCTATTATAGGTGGCGTGTTTCCATCCATGGGAACATAAGTTCCTGGTAATAAAATATTATTATTAATATATCTAAGACCAAAATCCGTAAAGTATAATAATTTATTTTTTATTTTATCATTTAATGCCTTCAATTGGCTTTTAAATGTAGGGGAGTTTTTGAATTTTTACTGGAATATGTTGTATCTTAACATTTTAAAACGCCAATTTGGCGAAAAATGGAAGTAATTCAGGGCTGGTTGTAAAAATACCGATTATTCTGTATCTTTACAGTTCCACCAACAGAAATGTTAAGATGCAACGTTTTCTTACATTGGCAGAGCAGCGGCAGAGGACCGACGGCGCAGTCGCTACCCTACCAATGTAAGAAAACGTTGCATCTTAACATTTCTGTTAGAAAACAGCCTAACTTAACATTTTAAAGCGCCAATGTGGCGGAAAAGCGAACCTGTCCAGGGCTGGTTGACTATCGGAAAAATATCCAAAAAATACCGATGGTCACCGATTCTCCAATTTTCCGCATCTCTACATTTCTTCGCAGCTCGTTTGTTTTTGGAAAATGTCAATTGTTGTGGAAAAACCTGCTAATTGTTAAAAACGCCCCTTCGGAGAGCGCACAAGTTTCGCGAGGACGGCGCGCTGGCAGCACAAGTAAAGGCCGTGGAAAATCGTGCAAAACCAGTGGAAAATGCAACTTTTACTGCGTCGGCTGTGTGGGTGCCCGTGTGTGTGTATGTGTGTGCGCGTTGTTAAATAAATTAATTATTAGAGTTACATATTTTAAAGGCGAAAAAAGGGTAGTCTCTTTTCGCTCCCCCTCCCCTTTCAACAGCTACTAAAAGTGGGGCTCCAAACACACCCACACAAGAACAAAAGTTAATGCGCTGCGGTTAATAATTAAACAAATCGGTCTTTGGGAAAATCGGTGAAAATATGTAGCCCCAGTGCAGTATATATAGGTGTATGTATGGGGCATGTAAAGGCAGCAACAGCAAGCTGAGCAGCATATACACACATGGAGAAATCGCCCAAAAAACTTTCTGCGCAAGCTGTCCAGAGAGAGAGAGAGAGCGAGCGATTTCCTTGGTGGAAATGTATGAATGAATTTTCGCTTTTGCCAATTTTATGTTAATAAAACAAGAACGCTGCTCGCTGCTCGGACTTTCGGAAAAAATCAGCATAAATAAACTAAATCAAGTTTGGCAATAAAATCAACAAAAAAATCTGTGTGCTATACAGACTCCCCATTTGAGCCTCTCCTTCTCTCAATTTTCATCTGTTACATCTTTTGTTGCTTGGAAAAATCCGTGTATGTACGCGCGTGTGTCTGTGTGTGCGCCAAGTTTTCCACTGTGTTTGTCTACACGCCCACATAAGTGGCCCAGTGCTTGTGTATTTGGGAAAAGTAAAAGTGAATCTCGATTTAATTATTTACCTCTTCCAATTTAGTGAATGAATAAAAACGCCTAACTGTTCGGAAAACCCCGCCCCCCAAAATTGTGCCAAAAAGATAAGAAAAAGATCAAGTATACTGGAGATCGGCGGAGAAATTGCAAGTCGGATAACAACAACAACAAGAATAAGAAGAAGAAGTACAACAACAACAACGTGGGATAGGATCGTCTAGGAGCATCGGCTAGTTTCTGGTGTTGTTGTTGTCGTCTGATTACCTTTTTTCGTTGGAAACGTTTGTGCAGCAGCAGCTCTGAATGTCTTTATGCTTTAATCATGGTGTATTTCGCCACCAACAACAACAACACCGACACTATACGCTGCTATATTAGAATCTTTCTGATAACGAACCATGACAGAAGGACATGAAAGGTGAGTTTTTGACACAAGGTATACGGTTAACTATAGACTAGGTGATCAACTACAGATTAATTACTATACTTCGAACTTTATTTCAAAGTTTTTTGATCTCAGCCTTTTAATTGGAAATCTAAAAACCTCCCCAATGACTTAAAGACCATCGAAACTCCTGAATCATAACGGATTTCTGTGAATCAACAGTAATAAAAAATTACAAATAAAAAATACAATATTAACGTCATTTCCCGGACGAATAATGACACATTTTTGTTTAAAAGTTTAAGATTTCCAAAAAATATATTTAGTTTGTTTGAATATCTACAGCAGTTATTGTGTTTTTGTGTTTCTGATTTGTTCGTAATTAATAGTCCGAATGTAGTAAGAAAGTCGATATATGTATAAGGTTAAGGATATTTACACAGATTTGACCAGATAATATTTGTAAAACCTTAAGGTTCAAAAACTTTCAAAATTATATGTAATCTCTGAAAGATTTTGAATTTTTAAAAAAATATATATTTAATACAAATAACATTTCCCTGGATCTGAAGCTCAGTTTTAATGGCCACCAGATGGGCTACAAATTGGCGTGCCTCTATTAATTGATTCCAATTGATAGCTGATTGCTGAAAAACATTTTTCAATTTACGGAATGCTTTTTAATTGAGTCGACGGGCTTTTCTCTTTTTCCTCAATGGACAGGCGAATGAATGAAGGAATCGTGAGTCATTTGTCTGGTCGAATTGAAGTCTCCACATTGTCTGTCGACACTTTTAATGAATGAAATGGAACGCCCCCATGTGTGGTTTCTTTTCCGTTCCGTTCGCCTTTGGGTCCAATAATTGCCGTTGTTACGACTACTCACGTATTATTGCCTCGCGCCACTGGCGCTCTTTAAATTCTATTCGAAAATGATGTCATTTTGTGTTTGTCCGTTTGTTGTTTCGCCCCGCGATTCGTTTATATTTCTTTCAGTACTTACATGTATCGGGGGTAAAGCAAAAGCCTGCGCAACAAGAACAAAAATCATAGAACCCAAGGTTTCTGTAGTTTCATTCATGTCTTGCCTTTTATTCCGTTCTCATAATGAATTGATATGCGACATGCCCACACACAAACTCGCATAGAGGGTGCTCATTGTAGTGGCTATGCATTTGTGTGGTTCCATTGCGAAAGCACGTTCTTAAAGGCCCAATATTTCTATTATTTCTTTCAAGAGTTTTAGGAGCTTTTTTCTTATGCATGTTATATTCCAGTACTAACTAAATTGGTTCATATTCAGATCACATTTACTTATTTTACTGTAGTCAACAAAAACCGAGCTCTTTCAGAAATTTAAGTTAGAATGTATATCTATTGAGCAAAAAACAAAACATAACTTTGCTAAAACCGACATTCTAAAATGTTTTTTGAATTCGCCTAGAAATAGGCAATAATTTGTACCCTTTTCCCGAAAAATGTTCTAAGTGATATTAGAATTTTTAAATAAATTCAGCATGTACATATGTAAACATTTTTTGAGTATTTAGGGATTTTTTTGAATCATCCATTTTTGGAATTAAAAAATTCATTACTAACGTCATTTCCCGGGTGCACAAATATACGTTTTTGTTAAGTATTAAGCAAGGAATTTGTCAACCTACAGATACTAAAAAACAATCGTAGTCGGTGGGATTTTTGTGAATCAACAAAATATTGTACTTAAACGTCATTTCCCGGACGCATAATGACACATTTTCTTTAAGAACTAGGTGAGGACTTGATTCTTTAGTTTGCTAAAATGTGGGCAATAATTTTTACTTTTTTTAATTTGCTGATAAATTTTAAAATCATTTGAGTGGTTTTTTATAAATATTTATTACAATTTATTTAATAGGAGAGATATTTAATTAAAGGCTTTATTATATTGACTTAATTTTCTTTTCGGCGCATTATAGCATTTTTTATAAGAAGCACCCTGTTCGCTGCGTTTCTTGTTGCAGCGGAAACAACATTCGATTTCAATTTTGCATTGTAAATTGATTGGCATGTGAATAATGTAACGGTAAGCGGGACATTCGTGACCACGCGACAGTTCAGATGTAGATGAGTTTGTGTTTCTGGCCGTATGCAAATACGTGGGAGTGTGTGTGTTTGTTGGGCAGTGGGAGCTATCAAAACTATTCGCCTATTTAAAGGGGGGCTCTGTGTATTGGAACTTTTTTTGTTGTATTGTGGTGTCGCCTCTCCGACATTTCGTGTGGGTGTCCACCAACACAGGCAGAGACGTATACGCACACGCAGACCGTTGTTCATTCATCTTTTTCTGCTGCAGCTTCTCTGTGTGTATGTGGGTGGGCGTCCAAGTGCATGTGTTTGTGTGGGAGTATCCAAGCCATTCAGTTGGCAACAATGTTTTGGGAGCACCAGCAGCCGCCGAAGTTGGCCAGCAAAGGGGGGCATGAATAAATGTTGGTTAGAAATCGAAAGATTGGTTAGTCGGTGGGTTTTAATTTAGCCACAGATCATTTATAGGCGACAACTCCCACGCACACATGGAAAAAGATAATTGGAGCTCTCTGTCGCTTTGCCTCTCTGTCTCTCTATCTAACGGTATCTTTCCCACGCATGCGCTGTGACTGGAAGTGAGAGCTTCCAAGTATTGATAGACTTTTAGTTTCGGCTTGGGGCAGGCTCTTCTAGCTTTCCACATTTATAAAAGTATGTATGTTTCATGTTTGGCGGAGTTGGTAGTATATTTTTGTATATAGCTTTTTTTTTGATTGTACCTCGACTCGACTACACCCTGGTCTTTGGTAGAGGTGGCAACTCTAAATCGAAATGGAGTAAAAACCGTTAGCCGCACTCTCTCTTTCTCAATGAAAACCCGTTATGCGTTATGCTCTGACCCTGGATAGTTCCGTTGGCTTCCTTTCGGTTTTCATTCACACGCCTCGAAAATCCTTGACTAGGCTGACGTAGCTGAATGAAAATCATAGGAGGACCAGTCCTTGACATGTCCTGGCTACTCGGAGGCCCCGGTGACGTCGCGACAAATATTCATTCTGTAAAATCCATGCGAAACTAGGACAAGCATGTGTATATATGGCACGCACACCGCTGCACTTACATGCACGCAACCCCCACCCCTTACAAACACACACACAGATACTTGACACAGTGGAGTTTCAACTCCCTTTATGGAGCTTTTTTCATTGAGTAACTCCCCATACATTTGCCCGGGAAACTCTGTCCTTATTCGAGCACAATCAATTTATGCGAAACTTGTGCGCAGGTCGTCAAAACTCCATTTTATGAACCCCATTCATAAGGCGAGGAAGAGAGGCCCCTAGAACTGAAGTTGCGGCTCAATTTTACAGAATGAAAGTTTCGCATATCATTTGGCACCCCTCATAACACTGGAATAAAGTTTTAAATAGCTATTCTACATTGAAACTATTTCCCATTACTCATATTTTGTTTGAGAAATATGTTCTTTTTATTTCATGCTGAGAATTCTAGTTCCTCTGAAAACAAAGGCTTTTATAGATTTTTTATCTTTACCCCTTAAGCACATATTTTTCGCGAGTGCTTGCCCTGAGCTTATATTTTTAAACCGAAGGACCCAATGTTATTTTTAGTTGTCATTGGCTTTTCACTTTCGCTTGGATGAATCAGTCGCTCCTGATGGCCAGGTAGCAACTAGCATCCTTGCTAAGGCTTCCTTGACTGGCCCAAAAATTGAATTAGCCAAATTAGCGGCACTTGTAGGTTATCCTGTCGAAGATATAGAGGCGGTTCTGTTACTTGAATGGCTCTCATTCGGTAAAAACAATTGGTGGCTCCAGCATGGCTACGGTTTCGTACACCAAACTAAGCCTGAAACGCAGGATAAGCAGGTGGGATTGTTTGGGATTTCCAATAGTGTTGAATTTTATAAAGCCTTTGGGAGAAATTAAGAATTAAAATTCAATATTAAATGTAACAATACATTTTTACGATACAAAAAAATGTTAGCGAATAAAAACAGATTTAGATTTGGCAAATAAATATTCCTTTTCTTTAATTTTAACTTGTAGAAGTTAGTTTTTATACTAAGCTTTTAAGAAAAATTAAGTTAAACCTTTTTATAAAATTGTAACTCTATAGTTTACCGGTATAAGTCTCAATACAAATAGTTAAGTGATAACGAATTTGAGGATAGTAAAAACATAACCAATCCAAGCTTTAACCAACGACTATTTATTTTTGGTAGTGTAACTCATAGAATTTATTACATTGATCAGCAAATTTAATGGCTATAAATTAATATTTAAGAAAATATAAAATATTTTTTTTGATTTACTAATGAAACGTTCCCATGATCTTTTTTTACAGCGACTTCTTAGTAACAGTACGCGCACAGGTAATGACCAGAGACGAGAGCACCGAGGGCTGGCTACCGCTGGCCGGGGGTGGCCTGGCCAACGTTTCGATCCGGAAGCGGGCTAGGCTATCCCCATTGGCATCGGGTCATGACTACATCATCTACGGGCAGAGGATATCCGATCAGAGCGTAAGTTGTACCTCCAAATACTCCTAAATACCAGAAAATACTAATGAATAATATCCCAACAGGTCATTTTGAGCTGTGTGATCAATCGAGATCTGAAGTATTACAAAGTAATGCCCACATTTCATCATTGGCGCGCAGGGAAGCAGCGGAACGGACTCACATTTCAAACGGCCGCCGATGCGCGAGCCTTTGACAAGGGCGTCCTGCGCGCCTATAACGAGCTGATCGATGGTAAAATCCTGCCCGGATCCACCTAGCTGATCTCTACTAGTTGCATGACCTTGGCTTGCACATCCCATCTCTCTATCTCTCTCTGCTTTTTGTCAGCCCGCTTTAGTTGCCCTTTGACTCCTGCTTTTACCTTTCTACTCATGCCAAAAAAAAATTTCGATTCTTCCAAGCCTTTCTCTGCCTTAGTATTGCTTTCGTTTACTAATATATTCAACTTTTTGTATGTCTTATGCTCTACTCTTGCCACAAAAATATCAAACAAACAATCAAAAATCACCACACACAATCACATTGGATTATTGCAAATTTGTTTCAAAACTCAACAAATCAACCAAAACATTTAAATCTATAAATTCAATCGAATTGGTAAGTGTTTAATGAGGCCGTACCTCAAAAATTAGTTGATGTGTGCTGTTTGCTTTGAAGGAACATACATTGTGCTAGATCACTTCAAAATTCCCAGCACATATATGTGAAAATAGTATAGTCTAGTTAACACATATAGGTCACTTTAATTTCCTTGCTTACACTTTACATAGTTGTATTCTGATTTTACGCTTTAATATAAACTTTAAACTTTTCTCTGCTTTGCGCCTTTCTGAAAAACTGTGTTCTTTGCTTGAATATTATATACTTTTAATTTTGTTAAAAACTAAATCGAATTTTTAAAACTTATTCAGGACTGGCCAAATCGAATCCGACGATAATTTGCCCGCCGCTAACCAAATATGATTCGGTTGGCGAAGATGATGTATTCATGACCCTGGACTTACCTGTGGAGAGCGAAAGTTTACAAAAGATCCATTCAAGCCCCGAGGGCAGCGAGAAAAGTCACAGTAAGTATAGGATCTAATTATCCCATATGAGTGATTCTTGGTCTCAAAACGATATCTAATTTTAATGACAATATCACACCATTTAAAAAAGATTTTTTAAAAAGTTAAAAAAAAATCCATTTGACAGAAGCGAAGATATGGCTATGCTATTTTTTTGTTTAATTAATTTATAATTTTAAATTACGTGGGGTAAAAAATAAATAAAAATACCCAAAAATTATTATTTTTGCCTAGCTTTCAGATAAAAATAACACCCATAATGGTTTCAGTGCAATATATAGTCCAAACAGTTTTCTGCAAATCGGCATTTTTAATCTTTATACAAAAATAGTACAATGTTCTATACATAATTCTTGTTGACTCCTGAAAGTTTCGTCATGGGTCCTCCATTACTTTTTGCATAATTTAATAAAACAATAAAAAACCAAGCAGTCTTTCGTTGTTATACATTAAATTAGATTAGACGAACAGTCATAAAAATTACATAAAGATTAGATACGTTTCACAAAGAATCACTCATATTATGTATTACATATCTAATCCTCTTTTCTCATCCCACAGAGAGCGTCAGCAACAACTCCGACTCGGAGAAGCTGCCCCCGCCGCCCATTCACTACATATCCACGGACAAAACATCGGCCACCACATCGCCGCCAGACGCACCGCCCGCCTCGGCAGCTCCATCGCCGGCGGCCGCTGGCCAGATTGCGGCCAGCGAGAACTACTCGTACGTGACGCTGACGGCGGTGCACCATGACTACAACTATCCGGTGGTCGATCAGCCGGTGGGGGCGCAGGTGCTCAACGCTCGACGGGAGTCGATCAGTGCGCTCAAGAAGCGCAACGCTCTGGAGGCGGCGGCCCAGGCAGTGGGCAGTGATGGGGGAGCGGGCAAGCCGCTGCACAAGCCCAACGTATCCGATATCCTGAAGAAGGAGACGCGCCTGCGCTGTCGCTACTGTCACGAGCTGTACAGCGAGGACTTCAATAGACGCGGCGCCTGCGAATACGCACCGGATCCCTTTCGCAGCGGCTACGAGTGCGTTTCGGGGATGGGCTGTGCCCGCTGCATGATCTACCACTGCATGAGCGACGCCGAGGGCGAGACGGCCCAGCATCCGTGCGACTGCAGCGCCAGCGAGGCGGGCTGCAGCAAGCGCTGGCTGGGCCTGGCTCTCCTCTCGCTGTTCGTGCCCTGCCTGTGGTGCTATCCGCCGCTCCGCGCCTGCCATCTGGCCGGCATCCACTGCGGCCTCTGCGGCGGGCAGCACAAGCCGCATGTCTGACATTTGGAGGCCCGCTTGCAACGACAGCACGACGATGACCCCAGGCCCAGAAGCGAATTCCAATACCACCAACAAACCGAGCAGAACAAGCGTTTGTGGGGTGCCAAGCAGAAGCAGTCGCAGTTGCAGCAGCAGCAATCGCAGCGCCACTTTTACAACTGGGAGCTGTCGCACAGCTTGGGTGCCCCGCAGCACCAGATGCCGCCGTATTTGATGCAGTCCACCGGCAGAAAGGCGGCCCAAAACGACTACGGACGCTTGCTGTTCTAGGCTTCATCTATGGTGACAGCTTGAGGATCCATTTACGCCAACTAATTAGCCAGAACTACTGATGAAGGACAAGGAAAGGATTTTCCGATATATGTATTTCAAGAAAACAAAGCTTTTCATACTTTTGAGATAGGGTGAAAACAGAGCAAACTCATCTGGCAAATTAGTTGGCGAAAATGGCTCTCAAATTCGCTTTTAATATCATTTCCGTATACTCCATTTGAATTGCCATAATTTATTGTATATACAAAAGAGCAGGAAGGATTATATATATATATTTTTAATATACTTTTTAAATTGTAACCTATGTTTAGTGCTCTCGCTTAATTATAGTTTTGTAAAAACGGGCTATTTGTTTTTATTTGTAACTGAAACACACTTTTTTATCAAAATCAAAATATTATACAATGATTGTTTTAGTTTTTAGTTCCTTAGGGTTTTTTGCTACTTTACACTTGCTTATTTACAATTCGAAATTGGAGAACAGTATTAAAACGGCCAAGGCAAAGGCGAAACGAGAACTAAATATATATATTTAAATGCGATTTTCTCTGCGCGATTCCAATTTGTTAATCAATGTCACGCGCTCAAAAAACTCACACGAAAAGTTCAAACAAACGGCAACCTGATGCGCAAAGGAATAAAGAAAAAAACAGAAATTGACACATGCAACTGGGAAGAAGAAATAGTTGGCGACTCAGCTGTCAAACGAGATTCTTCTCCGAACCTGAAAAAGAATTACAAATTGTTTTCGACTCCTCCCGCAAAAGAATCCGCGGCAATGCTCGAATTTTGTGCGTTCGCCAGGCTCACCAATTGTTACTTAAAGCAGCTTTAATTTTGAAAAATATTTACCTCTTTTAGTTGCCTTTTAAAAAGGATGTTTTTGTCTCTTCTTAGGGCTCATGAAGATTCAAAATATTCCTTTTGTCGCGAACTCGAAACATATGATTTCCCAAAAAGCTTTTGTTAAACCGCAGAAATAAAGAGGAAAACCCAATTAAAATTAGAGAGTCAATGGACAAGCGAAGACCGCAGCATTGCGCGTTTGGAAATCTTTTGCAACTAAATAATTCTAGAACGCGAAGCAATTTGTAATTTTGAACCAAAATGCTAAACACTTTGGCGGTTTATAAAATTGGCCAAAGAAGAGGCATTTGAGCAAAGGGGTAAAAACAAAAACAAAAAACAATTTAAGTGTTTTCAAAAAATCAACAAACTCATATATGCAGCTATATATATATAAAAATAATAAAAAACATTAATTTATTTCTTACTATATAATTATTGTTGTACTAAGTCAGTGAGAAAAAAACCATGAAAGAAAAATTCACACGAAAACTAAAACAAAATGCATATTTATTAAAAATAAGCAAAGGTTGTGCAAAAAAACACATTAAAAAGCAACATTATTATTGTAAAAATTAACTAAATACGGCAATTGTTATTAAATGTGCAAAATTCAGCAAAACACATTGATACAAACCTCAGCAAAAAATACAAGGCAAGATCTGAAAAAACGGACGTCTATGGAATGACAAATTTTGAACACACAAATAAAGAACGATGAACCGCGAACCGATCGAACGGACAAACAAAACACTCAACAACAAGAAGTACAAAATGTTAAATATGTATTCATAATTTACACTTACGTTTAATATTATTTAATTCAAACGCTTACTCAACGGAAAATAGCTAACTATTATTACAATCGTCCTCACACACACACAATAAAACTAGCTCAACGGCGGAATTATTACTTTAGCTAAAATAAAATTCACCTTTTGCAATTTTCCATTTTCCTTTCCTCTATTATTTCACACCGAAATAAACAGAAATGGTTACAAATAGCCGCATATACTCATATTAAATTGAAAAGAAATGTGTCATTACAGAAATGGAAAAAATGAAAATAGTAATATAAATGATATATTTATTCATATAAATGTATTTGAAAATGTGAACAAAAAAGAATACCAACAATAAAACACAATTTAATAAACAATGTGAAAGGTACGAGTGATTTTTTTTAATATGTGAACGAACTTTAGTAGGCTTTCAGTATAAAATACGAGTAATACATAGAAAACACTAACGAAATGGACGAGCTAATGAGGCAAAAATGGCCTGCAGATCAGAAGAATGAGAAGCAGGAGGTAACCTGCTGTGTGTCGTTTACCAAGTAGGTTTATACTCTATAAGGACTTTATAATAACCTACAGATTTGTTAATTCCCAGTCCAAAGTTCAATCGCGAGAAACCTTCCTCTGGCGATGAGTTGAACTCGGTGACGCGTTTGGTTTCCAAAACCGAAGATCTCGAACTAGATCGAGTCTTCAATGGATTTTCAAAGGATGGTTCTTATTCCAACAAATCCCTTAATCGTTCGCTTTTCGAATTCGGTCATAACTTCGAGGATGTTGAGGGCTGGCTAAAAATGGATCAGCCTCCGAAGGATCAACTGGCATCGGTGCTGCGCTATATGTTTGAGGCTCATCTGAAGACCACTGTGCAGATAGATATTAACAAAATGTACTTCAACTGTCACTTTATCGTACTGCAGGTATACTCCCGATTCTTCAGTGAGCTAAAACAGATTCCTCTTCTGGTAACTCTACCCAAAGATTTGGTATCGCAAAGGTCCTTTATGCTCATCTACAAATGGATGCTGAGTGATAATCCCGTTTTGGATCGTCGCTATATTGTAGAGGTTTTTGTGGCAGCGACTTATCTGAGGATCGACGATCTGCAGGCTCATTGCTGGAAATATTTTGATGATTCTCAATGCTACGATGAGGATACCGCTTGTGTCCTTTATGTAGAAACGAAATACCATCCCGCCTTGGATTTGGTGCGTAATGTAATGCTGACCAGGATCAACAAGTTCTTGTTAACTTTTGTGGCCTCCAAGGACTTTCTGGATCTTCCCCTCAATCATTTGATTTTCTTGCTCAGTTCCGATAAGATCTGTGTAAATACGGAAATTGAGGTGGGAAAACTCTTTTTTTTAAAGGGTTTATTTTCGATAACCCTCTTTTATAGATACTTTTTATAGTAGTTCGATGGCTGGGTCACGATTGGTCGAAAAGAAGTGCGCATGCGCAGCGCCTTGCGTCCTGTATTCGCTTCTCCCTGATGCCGCTGTGGTATCTTCTCTATGTCCGTTGCGAGGAGCACCAATTGGTTCAAAAACTGATTTCCTTTCCGGAAGTAGATGATCAGATCAACGAATCCATTTCGAGAATAACCTCGCGAATGTATGAAGAAAAAATCGCTGCTCTGGATGGTGAAGATTTCTTGGGGGATTTGGAACCTCAGCCCCAGCGCACCTGGATTTGCGATCGTTTATGCCAGTACTATCACTGGGTGGGTTGTCCTAATACCCGGGATATACGTTTCCAAAACTTTGAGGATTATCTATCGGAATTGCATCAAAGTTCCCTGGATCACTGGTCCAAGGTGAAGATGGTGGATCCAAACAAAAAAACTAATTGCTGCAGCCCAAATAAGTCATTAATTGAAGATTTATCAACCGAGGCGAATAATAATGCAATTTAAATTAGAAATTTCAAAATAAAACGAAAAAATATTAAGGAAATTTAATCAAGAAGGTTCGAGTCTGTGCTGTATAACAACTTTAAGCCAAGTTTACCACCTTCTGGTTTTCGGGTTTGTGTTATACTTATAATGTACCAACTACACTATGCACTTTTGGTTTTTTTTACTTTGATGCAGAATGGGAGAATACCCTGTTATCCTATTTATATATCTTGGTTATAGGAAGGATTAGTTTAAATCTTAGTTCCAACAAATAAATTAAATATTTTCCATTTGCGAGCCATTAAAATGTAACGTATTTCATGGGGCGTTGAGGTATTTTGCGTAGAATAAATAACGGTCACACTTATTGCTTTGTTTTGGAAAGAAATTAATAATAATTATCAGTAAAATGGAGAAACTGGAGGCCCTGAAGATGTCCTCGATGCGTCCGCGCAGCAACATCCTGGACAGACCGCTTTCCAAGGGCAAAACGGAGGTTTCCCAGAGCATTGTGGCGCTGCTCTTCAGCGAAATCGTTCAGTACTCGCAGAGTCGAGTGTTTACAGTGCCAGAACTGCAAACCAGGTGGGGTTTTTAATAATATTTAAGGTTTAATAACTAAAGTAAACCCTTTTCCAGGCTCCATGACTTGGGCCAAGATGTGGGCACCCGTATCATCGATTTGTACTTCGTAAGGGAGCGGAGTTCTAAAAGGGAAACGAAATTAACCCAAATGCTGCTCTTCGTAAAGACGACTGTTTGGAAAAACCTCTTTGGCAAGGAGGCGGAAAAACTGGAGCACGCCAACGATGATGAGAGAACCTACTATATCATAGAAAAGGAACCGCTGGTCAATACATTTATCAGTGTGCCCAAGGATAAGGGCTCTCTGAACTGTGCCAATTTCACGGCAGGCATAGTGGAAGCTGTGCTTACGAATTGCGGATTTGTAGGTTTTCTCTTATAGAGGTTGTATATTATAATTCATAGTATTATCTTTACAGCCCTGCAAGGTCACCGCCCACTGGCACAAGGGCACCACGTACATGGTCAAGTTCGAGGACTTTGTCATCGCCCGCGACAAGCAGATGGAGGAGAAATAAATTCAGTTTACTTAACATTAGTTTTCGGTTTGTTTTAATTCCACTACAAATTGAAGATCAATCGGCGAAGGCGTATGGCTTAGATGAACTTGAACTGGCGATCCTTGTAGGCCACCTGGCCGCTGCGGTACTTCTCCTCGCGTCCATCGCGTTCCGCCTTCAGGGCCCAGGCGTACAGGGCGATCGGCAGGACGACGGCGAAGAGACCCGTGCGGAAGGACTTGCCGGTGGGCTTGAAGTGCTCGTAGTTGGAAACGCGCATCGCCTGGAAGCGGGCCAATCCCGCGTCGAACTGGAGATGTGCATAGTGGATTAATGGCATTTATCCGCAGCGCATGATGACATAACCAATGATGACTTACCACGGTGCCGCCCTCGCCGGTGGCATGGCGGTAGGGATTGGAGCTCTGCTTGAGGAACTCCTCGCGCAGCTTCAGGGTGTGCTGGTGCTTGCGCTGGATGAACTCCGTCTCCTCCTTGGACAAAACCATTTTCCTATTTTTGTGTTGCAAACCGAATTTTTAGCAACAGCTGACGGTTAGTGTGAACGGTTGGAAGAAATCGAAAAAACGGCAAAAATATTTTTACAAAATACTAAATTGATTTTATTACAAATAATTTTTAGTGTGCTTTTAAAAATTGGGTTTAGAGGTCAATTATTTACAAAACTAAATAGTTATGCATCTAATTTTTAAAATAAGCTTTAAAGTACATCAGTTCCGTTTACCATCTCTAGTTTGCCTACTGCATATCGATTTATCGATATTTGATGTTTCAATAATAAGGTGGTTTGAATCTGCTATTTCTTGTCATTTGCGCAGCGTAGTTTAAAAAGAGATATGAATACTTTTCTGCTCTGCAAAGGTAAGTTTTTATAAAGTTAACTCATTTTTTTCTCACAAAGTCTGCTGCTTCGTTGCAGCGCGCTCTTTCCACCCCCGCCTCTCTTAGCATTCGCTCTCTCCCTCGCTCTCACTGCGCATGTCCTACAAAGTGTGATGCGCAGATCTCGCGTCCACATCCTAGAACGCCGCCTAAAATAGTCAGATTCGCATCTCTAGCAGGATGTTTTCAGGGAATAGAAAGAATTTCCTTTTAAGCTCTTTATGGGGTATTTTCCCAGTTCTACGCTAAATTTTAAGTAGGGTGGTAGAAGAGCGTAGGCGCAGGGGTTACTAATCAATAACTCCCCCTTGGCGCATGCCATCTAAGGACTCGAGAGAGCGAGAGAGCTGTGAGTGAGCCAGCGCGCATGCTACTGCTTATTTGGGTGGTGAATGCACTTGGCTTAGACCCGCTTTTTAGGGGTGGATTTCGGGTATTTCGGTTGCCCGCGGTTGCGCCGTTCCAACTGGCTCATATTTTTCACTCGCCTGCCGACGACGAAGGCAGCCGGATTGATTTTCACCTGCCGCCAGCTAAAGATTTCCCAAATTCGAGATTCAGTGCATCAGGATGAGCCTCAAGTCGAGTGCCAGGATCAAGAAGCGCCGCTCGGAGGCAGCGGCGGCCACGTACCCGGTTCCCTTGGCATCTCCCACTTCCGCCACACCAAATCCTCCTGCAAACACAGGAAATGGCAACCCCAATCCCTGCCAGAGCTCCGCCAAGAAGCACAGCTTCGTGGGCCGCAATCCCAACTTCGATACGGACGAGACCAAGCTGCTCATCCAGCTGTGGGGCGATCCCAAGCTGCAGCGCACCCTCATCACCACGCACAAGAAGCACGCGGTGATCTGTCAGCTGGCGGCCAAGATGCAGGAATACGGCTACCATCGCTCGCCGGAGGAGATAACCACGCGGATCAAGAATCTCAAGTGCTTCTACAATCGGCTGAAGAAGGACAAGGAGTGCGGCGGAATGTCCACCGATTCGGAGCCCAGTTGGAAGCACTTTGCCGAGATGGACGCCATCATGACCAGGCCCATCTTCAGTGTGCGTCCCAATGAGGTGCCGGCGCCCTCGCTCAAGTACCAACTGGAGCAGGCACTCGAGGAGCACGCGGAGCGGCGCAAAAGGCGGTTGGAAAACGGGGAGGAGCTTTCGGATACCGACAACGAGGAGGATGACATGCTGCTCTCCGCTTTGGTAAGCAAAAATAAGGAGTCGGGTGGCGGGAATAAGGCTCTTGAAGCCGGCTGCCTCGAATCCGACCTGGACATGAACGAGGAATCCTTCTCCAAGCGCCGCAAACTCTCCTCGGAAGTCGATGTGGACATAGGCGAGGCTCTCACCTCATCCTGCATCAAAAGCGAGCCTGCCCAGGAGGTGGATGCAGTAGCTCCTCCGCCAGTGGAGCCCGAGGCCGAGGAGGATGATGACTGCATGCTTTTGCCGCAGCCCAAAGAAGAACCCATCGATGTGGATGCCTCGGATGATTCGCCAAATGAAAAGTCCCCCAGCTCCAGTTCTTCATCCACTCTGGCCGAGATGTTGCAGCGGAACAAGCCCAGCAATCTGCTGCCCTTCACCGGGGCCAATGTCATCATCCCGGCCAGCATCACCACCACCACGGCTAGCATAAGTTCAAGTACAGTGAGTTCCACTAATGCGGCAAGCAAACTGCAGGGCGGTAAAATCTCGCTGGTGCCCACGAACTTCCTGATGCAATCCAAGCTCCCAGCTGCCGCGGGACCAAGTCCCCTGGCCACCAGTGCAACCAAGGGAGCTGCTCCACAGCAACTGCAACTCCTGCAGAGTGCCATCAATCAGGGCGCTCGTCTGATGATCAGCGGATCCGCGGCGGCACCGGCTCAGCCTAGCAACGCCGGTCTGGTGGCCACCGCACCCGGCGGCGTCAAGTTCGTGCTGGTCAATGCGGAGCAGGCCAAGGCGGCGGCCGCGGCTGCAGCGGTGGGCAAGTCCTCTGCCTCCTTGCCCCTGGCCACCGCTCAGGCGCAAGTTCAGGCGGCGGTGCAACAGCAGCAGCAAAAGTTGCAGCAAAGCCTCCAGCAGGAGCAGCATTTGCAGCATGTCCACCTGGAGAAGGAGGAGAATCGAAGGGAGAAAGCCAGGGAGGAGCTGCAGTCCAAGCGACACATGACAAGTTAGTAGCTCTAATATCCTATTATCCTTCTTATTATACCCAAAAGTATATAACAGCTAGAGGGAAGCATTTCCAACCCCATAAAGTATATCTATTTAGCCATGTCCGTCTGTCTGTATGAACGCTGAGATCTCGAAAACTACAAAAGCTAGAAGGTTGAGATTTCCCACACATATTCTTGGGCTTCCTACGCAGCGCAAGTTTATTTCAGCCGAGCGCCACGCCCCCTCTAACGCCCACAATCGCCCACTAACGATTTTAAAATATGTCTGGCGCCCACACCTTTAAAGATTTCCGAGAAGTATAAATGCAATTTTGTTGTGTATATTTATACCTATCGAAATGTAGAAGACATTTTTCAAATTGGACCATTCATTAAAAAGTAATGCGCAATCAAAATGTTATATATACATCTCCCTCGCACTCCCTTTAGCCGAGTGACTATCGCTTTCTCTCTTGTCTAACGTTTGCTTTCTTTCAGCCATGAGAATCCTGCTGCGTCAGCTGCTGAATGCCCAAAACGAAGCCAACGAGATCCAGCACAATCGTCTGTCGCTGGAACGCGAGCGTCTGGACTGGGAAAAGTCCATGGGCGATCGGCTGCTCAACTTGCTGCCCAGTCTCCTGCAGCCTGCAGCTCCTGCCGCTTCTCCTTGCTCAACTGCCCAACGTCTGCAGCCACCCAAACTGCTCTTCACCACCGCTCTGCCGATGGGCAATGGCACTGTTACCATGCCACACATCCTAACATCCAATTCGCTGCCCAAGGTAATAACGACCACAAGTTGTAATAGTGGAGTTGCGGTGGCAGGATCAGGAGGAGGAGCAGGAGGAGGATTAGTTGCCACCAAGCCGGTTGACAATGACGTCCAATTGGTCACGCCCAAGAAGGAAAAGGAGGCCTGAACCGATGTCGAACTGGTCGTTTTAAGTGATTGATATTAGAAACGTCTTTCAGTGATCTCAAAGAAATGATATTCTGGTCTTTACTTTAGTCTACTCTAAAATGATGCTCCTAATAATAAACATTGAACTAGTCTCTCAGTTTAAAAAGTATTTGGAATTAGTAATTAGGGGTTTTAATGGAAGAAATCTAGTCTGGATCAAGAAATTATTAAACTTAAGATTATTTTGAAACACTTTTGCTAAAAGGAAGATATTTAATTGAGTAAAAGAATGTTATTTTTTAATCGTTATAGAAGTAAATCTCGAAAACTATGATATTTTACCAACATTTAGTGATCTGGACCTTTGATAAAAGATAAAATTAATTTAAGAAAGGAATTTTAGGGATCCTAAAGAAAATACTTTCTCGATAACACTTTTTTAAAGGTATCTATGATCCTAACTATATTAAAATTTGAAATCAAATTAACATTGAACTAGTTTCTCAGTTTAAAAAGTATTTGGAATTCATAATTGGGATTTTAATAGACGAAATTCTAGTCTGGGTCACGAAGTTATAAAACTTGAGCTTATTTTGAAACATTCTAGCTAAAAGGAAGAACTTTAATCGATAAATAGTATGTTATTTCTTTAATCGTTATAAATTTAAATCTGGAGATCTAAGAAATTTTATAAACATTTAGTAATCTGGACCTTGGATAATAGTTTAAATTAAATTATGAAAGGAATTTTAGGGATCTTAAACAAAATACTTTATCGATAACACTGTTTAAATGGTATTAATGATCCTAACTATATTTCAAATTGAAATTATACTACTTTTACAACAAAGCATTGCATCCTAGTGTATGTTGAGCCTTTCCATATCCCGGATTTCCATGATGTCCGTCTTGAGGCGCTGTTTTACGATCTCCCGCCAAATGGCCTCCCGATCCCTGTTGTCCGTAACGCCCATCCTTTGTAAAGAAGAGTCTGTGATTCGCAGTAGAGCCCTTCCAGTAATATCGTGCTAAAAAACATATAAATTTTACATTATAAACAAAATATAAACCAGATCAGTAGGCAGTTCTTGTAATGTCGAAATTGTAGCGGAAAGTAATCGGGTTTTTCCTGTTTAGTGTTTTGAGGTGCGGAGATGACGGAACTCCTACAGGGAGGCAGTGGCAACGAGGAAAAGCGGTAAGTAGGGGGTGTAAGGACCCCTTTTCCATTGGAACAGCGGATCCGAATCAACTCACCTGGGCGAAGAGCTGCTCGTATTGGGTGTATTCCCCGCAGTGGCGTCGATACCACTTCTGCACATCGCTCACTGTCCACTGATACACCGCCTTGGGTCGCGTGGTCTTTGTCCTCGTTTTATTCTGCGTAGAATTACTCGTTTCTTCGCCCATTTTTGGTTTTCTTAAAGAAATAACAAATTGTTAGGAATTTGCAAAAGCAACAAAACAAACAGAGACGCCGATATGTCGATAGCTGCTAGGGCTGGTAGAGCAAACATATCGATAGGTGCATATAAGTCGTGATTTTTAGAAATTGCATTCAGTTTGCTAAATTTAACAATTTAAATTCATTGCATTTTTAAACTTGCTTATTTATAGAAAAAGTAAAACTATTAAATCATTTTTAGAACTTACCTAAACATCTCATTTATATTTAATAGCAACTTTCGGAAAATATATTAATTATAACAATTTTGAAAGCTTGAATATATGTATTATTCGAAATACCCATTACTAGTTCTTTAGAAATCTCTTAATATTTTTCAAAATTAACCCCTACGCCGAGCTTTCGGCGTGCGATATATCGATAGCGCTCACAAGTTCAGCCTTCGTGGCCTATCGATGCCCGCTGTCGCGCACCTATCGAAGTCGCACCAGCTCTAATCGTGACTGGCGCTTAATAACAACGACCGAAAGGTGAAAAAGTCAGCATAAAACACACAAATACGCAGTAAATACTCGCCGTAACCGATTGAAAACAAAGAGAAAATTGTCGCATTGCTAGTGGCTAAACTAGGACACGCCTAGTTGGTTGATTTATTTAGTAAATTCGTGTATTTGACCGCCCCCATAACTCACAACTCACGTCCGAATCGCAATTCTCCAAGTCGCAAGATGGCCGGAGCAACACTTTTCGAGCGTGCCCAGGCACTGTCCAGCGTGAATCGCGAGGAGCAGGACAGCTCGCTGCTGAACAAGCTGGTCCGCGACCAGGAGGGCGCCGAGAACGATGAGGAGCGCATCCGGATCAAGGAGCAGGGCATCCTGCAGCAGGGCGAGCTGTACAAGCAGGAGGGCAAGGCCAAGGAGCTGGCCGATCTCATCAAGGTGACGCGTCCGTTCCTCAGCTCGATCAGCAAGGCCAAGGCGGCGAAGCTGGTGCGTTCGCTGGTGGACATGTTCCTGGACATGGAGGCGGGCACAGGCATCGAGGTGGGTCTATCGAATCACTTTTATTTAACTGAATTTACTGGTAACTTCATCATCCGCATACAGGTTCAACTTTGTAAAGACTGCATTGAGTGGGCCAAACAGGAGAAGCGCACCTTCCTTCGCCAATCGCTAGAGGCCCGTCTGATTGCCTTATATTTCGACACCGCTCTGTACACGGAGGCCCTGACTCTGGGCGCCCAGCTGCTGCGCGAGCTGAAGAAGCTGGACGACAAGAATCTCCTCGTCGAGGTCCAGCTGCTGGAGAGCAAAACCTACCATGCACTGAGCAACCTGCCCAAGGCCCGGGCCGCCCTCACCTCGGCCCGCACCACGGCGAATGCCATCTACTGTCCGCCAAAGGTCCAGGGCGCCCTCGATCTGCAGTCGGGCATCCTGCATGCGGCCGATGAGCGCGACTTCAAGACCGCCTTCTCCTACTTCTACGAGGCCTTCGAGGGATTCGACAGCGTGGACAGCGTCAAGGCCCTGACCTCGCTCAAGTACATGTTGCTCTGCAAGATCATGCTGGGACAGTCCGATGATGTCAACCAGATCGTCAGCGGAAAGCTGGTAAGCTTTATATGTTAGATTTGGTTAAAATATTTTAAAGCTACAGAAATCCACCTATTTTATTACATTTTATTGATATTTTAGATAAGTTTTAAGTAATTTCTTATACAAAAACTCCAAGGAAGTCTATTGAAATCCACTAATCCTTGAGTTTTTAACCAATTAAATATAGTATAGCATTTTATAACATTTAATTGATATTTTAGATAAGTTTTAAGTACTTTCTTATTCAAAAACTCCAAGGAAGTCTATTGAAATCCACTAATCCTTGAGTTTTAAACCAATTAAATCTAGTATACTATTAAGAAAAGCTTATTTAATGTGAACATTACTAAACAACACGCTTTTCAACCGCATTTCTTTGTCAACAGGCCATTACCTACTCGGGTCGCGATGTAGATGCCATGAAAGCGGTGGCGGAGGCTTCACACAAACGTTCCCTGGCTGACTTCCAAGCTGCGCTGAAGGAGTACAAAAAGGAACTGGCCGAAGATGTGATCGTACAGGCGCATTTGGGCACGTTATACGATACCATGCTGGAGCAGAACTTGTGCCGCATCATTGAACCCTACTCCCGAGTGCAGGTGAGTCGCGTTTAAGCTTTATATTTTGAACTACTTAACTCCAATTCCACTTTGCAGGTCGCCCATGTGGCCGAAAGCATCTCCCTGCCCATGCCGCAGGTGGAAAAGAAGCTGTCCCAAATGATTCTGGACAAGAAGTTTAGCGGCATTCTGGATCAGGGCGAGGGCGTACTCATAGTTTTCGAGGAGACGCCCGTGGACAAGACCTACGAACGCGTGCTGGAAACCATCCAGAGCATGGGCAAAGTGGTGGACACACTCTATCAGAAGGCCAAGAAGTTGTCGTAAGCGTGGAGCGGAGGGCACTATTCAATTCAAACATGATATCAGCATACTTAGCAGACTTTTCATAGTTTCCTTTTGTATTTTCCAACAACTCCCCAGCCTTGTTCGCGCCAAACAAGTTTTATGTTTCTGCAAAAGCAAAATTCAACCGATATTGGTGAAAATAGTAACAGGTGCAGCAACAACAGCCACAAAAAAATGTAAAACAGAATCCATTAAACTAACATAAGCAAAATTATTAATCATTGAGTGGGATCGAATTGTTTACGCAAGTGCGGTATAATAAGCAAAATATTCAATTAACTACATAATAAAATGAAAAAAACAGAAAACCGTAAACAACAAATATGCAAAATTGATCGTTAATCCTGGTTTCTATTGGTAAGTAATTGCTGAAATATCCCAAATTATTCAGTAGATAATTTCAATTAGTTATTCAACTTTAATGTATCTTTAAATAAATTAGTTTCTATACATAACAGAGCAATATTTAACCAAAGTGATGGGTCAATCCCAGACCAGCTCCAAAGTTGGGCTTCTGGTTGGCAAACGGTCCACTCGTCCACTTGCTGGCCGATCCCGTCAGATCGAAAGTGGTGGCACGATTGGGCGATGACCAGAGGTTGGCGCGTCCATCCACTCCGAGTTGCTGGCCAATTCCTGGGAAATTGCTGTGGGTCACGGAGGCACCATGTCCATTGATGTGCGAGTAATCCAGACCGGCTCCATTGCGCTGGAACTCAAAGCCATTGGCCAGTTTGTTCTGGGAGGCGAACACCTTGGCATCGAGATTGTGCCTGCCATTGTTGAACAGATTGGCATGGGCCTCCTGCTGGAAAACGTCCTTTACTCCGGGAGTGTGGGTTCGGGTCAAGGAGGCACCATGACCAGCGCTACAAGAATAAGAGGCATTTGGTTTAATATATCTGCTAAGGAATATGCATTTTGTTAGCAAACTCACTTATTGTATGCCAAAGTTCCTCCAGTGGTGACTGGTCCACTTTGTGTGTTTCCAGCTGCGAAAACCTGACCCACCACATTGTGGTTGGGATTTCCAATGCCCTTGGAGAGATTCAGGCGAGCATCAGAGCCACCAGCAGGATTGGAGGCTAGGGAACCACCAAGCACCTGGCGCCGAACACGGATGGGCTTGGACGGACGATTCCCTTGTTCTCCCCAAGGAAGTGCCTCTGCGATGGCGGAAAGGGCCACTAGGGCAACGATTAGGATGCTTGTCTTCTGCATGTTGCTGGATTGGATTGCTGGAGCTGACTGATGACTGAAGGTGGCTAAATATTCGCTTTTATACCTTGCTAGATGGGGAAGAACTAATCTAGTGATTCACAAGATTCATCTGGGTGTCGATTTCGGTTGGATTTTCTTATCAGTTTGTACTTCCCCGTTTTGCTTCGATGGGTGATTTACTTTTGGGATTTTTGGTGGGCTTATCACCTTTCCTACTTGGTGATCAGGATCAAAGTATTCCATTTTTTGGTAATGGACCTAATCATAAATAATTTAGAATTCAAATAAAAAAAGTTTTCACAAGCGGAACTTATTAGACTTAAATTAATATTATAAGAATTAATAAGAATTATAAGAAATTTAGAATATCCGTTGTAAGCTTGCGTTAGTTAGCAATTGGCGATAAGCACATACATATTGAATAATAATAATAGTCTTATTGTCACTCAAACGTGACTTTCTGCGGAATGAATTCCGAATACTTCTTATCGCCTTCAAAGTTAGGAATCTACACACAAAAAAAAAACTTGGTAAAATCAACTGTAATAATTGTCAAACAGGCCCCAACCAGCAAAATTGTCAATTCTACTAAGTAAATTGTCATTTCACAACAACAAAATACACACAATTAGCAAAGACACAAACCCAAAGCAAAAACAAAATACACGTAACTATTTTAATAGTTACGTAACTATCTTTGTTGGTCAATTTTACCAAGCAAATTTTTTTGTGTGTAGTACAATCTCATACTCAATATATTTCGACGAGAGGAATTCTCCGTAGTTACTCGGAACTCTTAGTTGTGCGAAGGCTGAACAAAAAAATTCTAGAAGAAATAAATTTTTAATATAAGGATGAGCTTGTAATTTGTATATTTAAAGTAGTTTTACACCATTTGTATTAAATTCCATAACTTATTGTATTATTTTAGTTATTTTGTTCCCTACCAAATACTACATTTTCTTCTACTTTCGGCTTGAGGGTAATTTTAAAACCAAAAAATTTAGAATCTTCAATCTTAGAACATTGGCTTGCAAAAAAACGAAAGAAAAAATTTCAAAATTAATTTTAAATATTTTTTGCTAATATACTTGAAAACGATTGGGTCGTTAGGTGTTAAGTTAAATTTTAAGGTGGTCTAAACAGCCATTCTTTTAGCCGAAGCACTTTATTGGGCCAAATTCCGGCAAAAAAAATAGAACTAACTTTCAACCAAAAAACCTTTTGCAAAATAACCGAAAAAGTAAAATGTTTAGGTCAGTGGAGGGAACAGGATTTGGTTGACACTTCAAAAAATTGGGTCTAAAAGTTAAAAACAGAAAGCGAAATTGGTAAACGAAATTGCATTCGTTTTAGTCTAAATTAAAATTGATTCAATAGGTAAATAGTTTTCTGATTTTCATATATTTTTTAATAAATTAATTAATAAATATCATAGAAAGTAGTTTAACCAAAATGGTGGGAGAGACCCAAGCCAGCGCCAAAGTCGGTCTTCTGGTTGGCAAAAGGTCCACTGGTCCACTTGCTGGCCGATCCCGTCAGATCCAAGCGGGTGGCCCGATCAGCCGACGACAAGAGATTGCCACGTCCCTCCAGACCAAGTTGCTGGCCGATTCCTGGGAAGTTGCTGTGGGTCAAGGAGGCACCATGTCCATTGATGTGCGAATAATCCAGACCGGCTCCATTGCGCTGGAACTCGAAGCCATTGGCCAGTTTGTTCTGGGAGGCGAACACCTTGGCATCGAGATTATGCCTGCCGTTGTTGAACAGATTGGCATGGGCCTCCTGCTGGAAAACGTCTTTCACTCCGGGAGTGTGGGTTCGGGTCAAAGAGGCACCATGCCCAGCGCTGCAAGAATAAAAGGGATTTGATTTAATATATCTCCTCAGAGTTGTGCTTTTTCTTGGTAAACTCACTTATTGTAGGCCAAAGTTCCTCCTGTGGTGACTGGTCCACTTTGCGTGTTTCCAGCAGCAAAAACCTGACCAACCACATTGTGGTTGGGATTTCCAATGCCCTTGGTAAGATCCAGACGAGCATCAGCACCTCCTGCGGGATTGGAGGTCAAGGAGCCACCGAGCACTTGGCGGCGGAAACGGATGGGCTTGGGCCTGGGGAAAGGACGATTCCCCTGTTCTCCCCAAGGAAGTGCCTCTGCGATGGCGGAAAGGGCCACTAGGGCAACGATTAGGATGCTTGTCTTCTCCATGCTGCTGGATTGGATTGCTGGAACTGACTGATGACTAAAGGTGGCTAAAGATTCACTTTTATACCTTGCTAGATGGGGAAGAACTAATCTAGTGATTCACAAGATTCATCTGGGTGTCGATTTCGGTTGGATTTTCTTATCAGTTTGTACTTCCCCGTTTTGCTTTGATGGGTGATTTACTTTTGGGATTTTTGGTGGGCTTATCGCCTTTCCTACTTGGTGATCAGGATCAAAGTATTCCATTTTTTGGTAATGGACCTGATCATCAATAATTCAGAATTCAAATAAAAAAAGTTTTTACAAGCGGAACTTATTAGACTTAAATTATTATTATAAGAATTAATAAGAATTATAAGAAATTTAGAATATCCGTTGTTAGCTTGCGTTAGTTAGCAATTGGCGATAAGCACATACATATTGAATAATAATAATAGTCTTATTGTCACTCAAACGTGACTTTCTGCGGAATGAATTCTGAATACTTCTTATCGCCTTCAAAGTTAGGAATCTAGTACAATCTCATACAAAATATATTTCGATGAGAGGAATTCTCCGTAGTTACTCGAAACTCTTAGTTGTGCGAGGGCTGAACAAAAAAATTCTAGAAGAAATAAATTTTTAATATAAGGATGAGCTTGTAATTTGTGTATTTAAAGTAGTTTTACACCATTTGTATTTAATTCCATAACTTATTGTATTATTTTAGTTATTTTGTTCCCTACCAAATACTACATTTTCTTCTACTTTCGTCTTGAGGGTAATTTTCAAACCAAAAAATTTAGAAACTTCAATCTTAGAACATTGGTTTGCAAAAAAACGAGAGAAAAAATTTCAAAATTCATTTAAAATATTTGTTCCTAATATACTTGAAAGCGATTGGGTCGTTAGGTGTTAAGTTAAATTTTAAGGTGGTCTAAACAGCTATTCTTTTAGCCGAAGCACTTTATTGGGCCAAATTCCGACAAAAAAACAGAAAGAACTAACTTTCAACCAAAAAACCTTTTGCAAAATAACCGAAAAAGTAAAATGTTTAAGTCAGTGGAGGGAACAGGGTTTGGTTCACTTCAAATAATTGTGTCTAAAAGTTAACAACAGAAGGCGAAATTGGTAAACGAAACGTTTTAGTCTAAATTAAAATTGATTTAATAGGTAAATAGTTTTCTGATTTTCATATATTTTTCAATAAATTAATTAATATATATCATAAAAAGGAGTTTAACCAAAATGGTGGGAGAGACCCAAGCCAGCGCCAAAGTCGGTCTTCTGGTTGGCAAAAGGTCCACTGGTCCACTTGCTGGCCGATCCCGTCAGATCCAAGCGGGTGGCCCGATCAGCCGACGACCAGAGATTGCCACGTCCCTCCAGACCAAGTTGTTGGCCGATTCCTGGGAAGTTGCTGTGGGTCACGGAGGCACCATGTCCATTGATGTGCGAGTAATCCAGACCGGCTCCATTGCGCTGGAACTCGAAGCCATTGGCCAGTTTGTTCTGGGAGGCGAACACCTTGGCATCGAGATTATGCCTGCCATTGTTGAACAGATTGGCGTGGGCCTCCTGTTGGAAAACATCTTTCACTCCAGGAGTGTGGGTTCGGGTCAAGGAGGCACCATGACCAGCGCTGCAAGAATAAAAGGGATTTGATTTAATATATCTGCTAAGGGATATGGATTTTCTTAGTAAACTCACTTGTTGTAGGCCAAAGTTCCTCCGGAGGTAACTGGTCCACTTTGAGTGTTTCCAGCAGCAAAAACCTGACCCACCACATTGTGGTTAGGATTTCCAATGCCCTTGGTAAGATCCAGACGAGCATCAGCACCTCCTGCGGGATTGGAGGTCAAGGAGCCACCGAGCACTTGGCGGCGGAAACGGATGGGCTTGGGCCTGGGGAAAGGACGATTTCCCTGCTCTCCCCAAGGAAGTGCCTCTGAGATGGCGCAAAGGGCCACTAGGGCAACGATTAGGATGCTTGTCTTCTGCATGCTGCTGGATTGGATTGCTGGAGCTGACTGATGACCCAAGGTGGCTAAAGATTCGTTTTTATAGCTTGCCAGATGGGGAAGAACAGTTCAGGTGGTTTACAAGATCCAGCTGATTTCCGATTTCGGGTTGACTGTCTTATCAGCTAGGAATTCCCCACTAAGCATTGATGGTGATTTACATATTTTCGTTTGTTTGTGTGCAACTTGACCTCATCACCTCCCCTTTTTTTGCGACTCATTGACGCCACTTGTTGCTCCTTTGTTCCGATTTCACCCTCGCCTCAGGATTTCAGTTGGCATCTTCAAGTGGTTTCCTTTGTGGCCTGAAGGCAGAGCACATCATCATCTTGCGCAGTAGGGTTGTTAAAAAATCGATAGTGGACACCATCGATGTTTTTGGCTATCGATGGTGGTCACTATCGATACTATCGATAGTATCAACAATTAAAGAAAATAAAAAACAAATTGTTAAAATAAAGGAAAATTATGAAAAACAACTTATGGAAAATGTGTGGTTGACTCATATAAATTAGGGGGAAAGAAACGGTCTAACTTTTACAGCGATTAAAGTGAAACAAAATTCGATGTTGAGCCTTAACAAATAAAATACCGTCGTGTTCATAAGTATATACTTTAAAATACTTTTTTTCCTTAAAATATACCAAAAGTTGCATGTAAAATTCAATTATTTTTTTGGAGCGATAGTATCGATTGTGGGTTCAAACCATCGATGTTTCCTAAATATTAAAACCATCGATAGTATCGATAGTGCTATCGATTTTTTTAACAACCCTATTGCGCAGGACAGCATTTGACAGTTATAAGCGATTCGGCATCATATTTATCACTTGATGTCAGGCTTTATCAATAGGTTTTGTTAGGCTTCTAGGGGAGGGATTATTATTAAGGAAAGGAAAGGGGTAATGAGCGAAAAAGAGAGACTGAGAGCATTTGAGCGAAGTTTCAACCAAATTCTAATTGAATTTTCTGCGCAGGAGCAGGCCGAAAAAGGATTCAAGCCGAAAGAGAGAAGAGCGGAAACTTTAACTCGAAGTGTCAACGAAAAGTTTGCACTGAAAAATAAAATTTAAAGCACATTAACTTAAAATTAAAAGCTTACCCTGTTATTGCAAAAAGTAATTTATTTTAAAAATGAATTTCATTTTTTTTTTTTACTTATTTTTAGAATTTTTAAAATTAAGTTAAACGTATTTTTAAAATACATATAAAAATTCCACACATTTTCTATAATAAATAAAATCTTTATAAACATAAAAGTTTGTAACTCTTTAGTACGTTACTTTTATATTATTTCAAAGGTTTTAAATGCGGTCTGTCATACCCTGAAATAATAGTTAACTTAAACCTCCTATTAATTAATTACTAATTTAGCACTTTATAAGGGGCTTGTCAATTTGTCTGTAAAATGACAAACCCATTCATCATGATCTGCAGCCACCTGGTTAGTTTGATTGAATATAATAAGAATATACAACAAAACCGGTTAGTGAATCACAGGAGTAAAAAATTTATTGTGCTTAGATTCATTGCCTCTCAAACGTGACTTTTTGTGGTTTTATTTCTTAGAAGTAAATTTCTTATCAGCTGTAGAGCTCAGCATCCGTTGACAACCGCAGATAGGCCATAGGAATCCCCTTAGAATTTTTTATTAAAATTGGTTAGAGAATACAAAAAAATATAAACATATTTTGTTGCTGTATTTGTTGTATTTATTTTATTAATTGTTTAACAGAGATAAGAAATATTAGAAAATTTTGAAGAAAACAAGTATTTGATCGGATGAACATCTTGGATTTTTCCATGGGTTCCACACATCTTCAGGCGGGCAGAATGGGAGGAGGCCTGATAGCAGCTTGAGCCAGGTGATCATCGATGGTGACTGCCTCGCGCCTCACTCGAATGGGGCGGGGATGGGAGGTGGGGCGTGGGCTGTAGGGGCGTGGCTTGCCGGGAGTGGCCAAAGCCATGGCGAAAACGCAGGCCAGCAGCAGGAAAACAATGGTGAACTTCATTATGCTTTGATAGTACGAATCGAACTGATTTGATTTCAGTTTCCATTGGCTTTTTATAGCAGACATCCACGTCGAAATATTTGAATTGCAGGCACGTCTTGCCTGTGGTCGCCGGTGGTTCCCCATCTGGGGGACTTTTCATCTTGTTTATCAGCGAATAGGCCACCGAAGGTGAACGGCTTGACAATTGTCTGTTTTCTTTGGAAAATGTACCCATATTGCCGGTGTAATAGCAAGGTACTTTACATTTTATCAGGTGGTATGTAATAAATCTGATTTTATTGTCCCCCTCAGTTTGTTACTAGATAGACAAAAAAATTTCAATTTTTTTGTTAAAGAGCTTTAACATTTTAAAAATTAAATATTTAAACTATTAGATCTTAAGGCGACCTCTTTAGTTAATCATTAAATTTTAATGTACCTAATTATTTTTTTTTCAAAATAAAATTTGTCTATTTATTTATTTAACAATTTTTTATTTGCAAACTTGAATATTTAAAATAAAGATATACAAAAAATTAATATTTGAAATATTTTTTTTAAAGACGTTTCTTTATTTAATATAGGGGAGAGTGGGGGAATTTCGTCAGCATTTTTTCAAAGCTATTTTTTGTCCATCTTGAGACACGTTATCATATTTCTATTTTTATTGTTGAATGCGGTTAGCACCAAGCTTTAAAATGTGACATTCTCCTATTTTTTTAATTAGCTTGGTGATTTATAAAAAAATAAAATGTAAAACCAATATACTGGGGCAATCTCACCACACAGGGGGGTAAAATCAGCACACAACTGGGGAAATTTCGTCACCTGAAAAATGTAGGGAGTTTAACGCCTGAAAATATGCTACACTGATCAAGCGTACCATTTTTGTTGACGTCCTATATTTGTTGCTGCTGCTGGTAGTCTGTTCGTTAGCCAGCTCGTCAAATATAAAAATATGTATTTAAAATAGGTGCGAATTTACCCTTAGCGTAGGGTGGCGAAATTTCCCCAGACCGTACTTTTTTAGAAATAATTATTTTTCTTGCGAAATTAGGCGCGAAGTTAAAAATCACTGACGCAGAAATGCACATTATAGCACTGTGTATTATATAAAAAATCGTGTATCTTATTCCTTTTGAATTGTGGCATACAGAAAAAATTTCGTCGAGAACTAAATGTAGCTTTTGAACTGTTAAAACACATTTAATATTATAGCTTAATTATCTTGGCCTTCTGTGCAAAACAAATGCATTGGTTGTGTCTGGCCGTCTTGAAGGACTAAAACAAAAAAATTATATATTTTTACGACTTATGGATTCCGAGATATTGCAGGTGACGAAATTGCCCCTGTGACGAAATTCCCCCACTCTCCCCTACATGTTCTGAAGATGGTAAGTTGTCTATTAAAACCGAATTAAGTTTTTAATTTCAATCAATACATTTTTATTATTAAATTTTTAAGTTTAGAAAGGAAGTTTAAATCAAATTTTTGGCGCCAAGCTGTCACTTTCACTCGTTCCGTCACTCTCGCACTCGCTTCGGCAGGTGCAGCCCACCCTCTCTTTCGCTCTCTTTGAAGTCCTGCTGTCGGCCGCGTCAAATCTCATTAGACTGGATACACACACACACATTCGCACGCGACAGCGGAACGCGCTTGAGCGAGCTTTTCCGTCCGCTTTTGAGCGCAACATTTTCTTTTCGGGGCTCTTTTGAAAAACTCTTGGGCAGCTTGCCAAACGCTCGTATAGAGGCCAGTCGCGAGGAAACTCTGCTTATCGATTACGCACGTAACACATTTGCCCCACAGAGCACCAAAGAGCAAATAGTTCAAAAATAACCAGCGAGCCAAATAATAATTGTGGTGTGTAATCAATTTTCGGATAATTAGGTGAAAAGAGCGCAAAGGTTTACATAATATTTGGATGAAAGAAGCGGACTTGAAGAAGGCTTTCAGTCTTTCGCCTCAAGTGTCTCAGCCTGTGACAATGGCCTTCAAGAAGTGTGCGAAAATTGTCTATATATAGAGAGTGATATGTACCTCAGCTTTTGTTGGCACGTGTGAGCCATTAAAAAAGGAATAAATCTGCAGATTTGCAAAAGGATTTAAAATATTATAATTGTCAGAGGGTTGAAGTTGTGCTATAAAACAGAGTAAAATAGGTGTACATATAATAATATGCTTTATGTTTTTTATAAAGTGGGTTTTATGATTTCTGTTTATATTTTCCTTATTTTCTTCTTTGCCTATGACTTCAATAATCTATTATTTTTCCCCAAGAACCCCACATTTGCATATATATTCTTTAGAAGCAACAACAAGTCTGCTCTATATACAGACAATAACCCACATATACACACATACACACCCTCGTACCCATTTACCCACATTTGTTATGTGCCAACGGTGCGTATGTGTACCAGTAGACTCAACCAAAAAACAAATGTACAAATTACTCACGCTCAAAGCTCCCCAGCTAATGCAATTCACTCAACTCGCTTGAGCTCACTCAGAAATCAGAGTGAATGGCAGAGCTTGTTTGTTTTGCCATTTTTCCAAGTCTCTGAATTATTCGCTTTTCTTTTTCTGAAAAGAGTAAAATATTTGAATGCTCACTCAAAAGTGTTCAAAAGAACTGGGAAATGTCAAACGGAAGTAGTTGACAGCTGTAATTGTTCGAATTCCTGAGTGGAAAGGAGATGAGTGGCTTCCGCTTGAGCTTAGCCTTGTGGAAAAGCAGTAATCCGGACTATATACTATCAAAAGGATAGGATTTAATGGGTTTTCGCATCTCATATATAAAAAAGAAGAACTAAACTGGTTGTATGACTAATAACTAAAATTTTTACATATTAAATATGATGAATTGAAATAATTGAGTAGTTCTTGTATAGTATGAACATCATTTATATAGTTAAACGTAGTTTTGAATCATATCATATGCATATAAAACCTGCGACAAGAAAGGATGTTTATAACGATTTTTCTCTGTCGAAGTGTGTGAGCCAGAACAAAACAATGGTAATGCTGAATTGTCTCCCTTTTGTTTTCCACAGCTGCCGAATGATAATGGAGATGATAATGAGGCTGTAACTGGGACACAAGAGACCAGACCGAAAGGAAGTGCCAGTCAAGAGTGGAATACCACCAACCAGAAAGGGAAGGGTTTAGAGGAGGAAGGAGAAGGAAAACACCCAGGACCATCCAGTAGACACCATCCGAGTTCAAGGAACTAGCGAGCAATGAATCCCTACACACAAGGAGGCGGAGGAGGTGCCGGCGGCGGAGGAGGCGCCAATCCCTTTGGGGCACCTGCCGGAGGAGCGGGCTATGCCCAGCAGGGCTACGCCTACGAGCAGCAGGCAACAGGTGGCTACGACCAGGGAGTGAATTTCGGCCATCAGCAGCAGCAGCAGGCAGCTGGATATGGACCACCTGGAGCCAGGCCTCGGGTGGATGTGGAGGCCAGCGGGGAGGTGGATCCCAATTTGTAAGTCGAGTTATCATTTTAAAAATTTTAGGTGTATTTAAAACACAAGAGGGTGATATTTTTATAACACAATATAACACCATTTTGATCAGGTAATACATTCTATATAGATCTATAAAAACTAGCGGTTAACAGCCTCCTATTAAGAAAACCTCTGCTTGTTCTCTGCCGCCACACAAACAGTTTACCAAAAAAAGAAAGACAAAATATAATTTTCCAAAAAAAATTTTAAGGATATGGATAGAATTTAAGATAGAGAAGATCAGCAATAAGTAGTTCCTTTACCTTATTTAGAACTTACTTACTGTTAGAAATATTTATCATTTTGGAAGGTATTGAAAATCTATTATAAACCATGATGTATGATATCAACAATTTCTATATTTATCTATATATTTTGTAGAGTCTTGTACTAATTTATTATTTGATCCTCAGATATCCGGAGGCCAAGGAGTCAACGCACAAGGTTCGCGGCCACTCGGACATCCTGGAAATGTTTTTCGGCGCCAGCACGGAACGGGAGCTGATTCCGGTGAAGAGTTTCTACTTCTTCTTCTACGCCGCCTTTGGATCGCTGTTTCCTTTGATGGGCGTGTACTTCAAGCAGATGGGCATGAATCCGGGCCAGTGTGGCATCCTGGTGGGAATGCGGCCCTTCGTCGAGTTTTTGTCCGCCCCTTTTTGGGGATCCTATGCGGATCGTTGTCGGCAGGGCAAGCGGTTGCTCCTCGGATCACTGGCCTGCTGGGTCCTCTTCACCATTCCGCTGAGCTTCATCCGACCGGAGGCCATCAACTGTATTGAGCGGAGGAATTCCACGGACTTTGTGCTGACCTACACTCGCACGAAGCGAGATCTGTCGGCCATGTATGAACCGGAGCAAATGGATCTGGCCACCGGGACCATGCCGGCGGACGAGGCTCTGGAGGAGGCGGAGGCAGCGCACAGCAGACACAAGAGATCCCTGCTGCTGCCCAGGATCGATGCGGGCATCTCGCCGGTCCACATCAACTTTGTGAGCAACTATGACGACAAGTACCACAGGGACTATGTGACGCCCATCTTTAGTTCCATGGTCTACAGAACTCCGGTAAGTCGAAGGAAAATTATGTGAAAATGTAAAGAAAGTTTCTAGTTCGTACTAAAAGTTTTTTAAAGGTCGATTGTTTCTGTTTGATTAATATAGATCTTACTCTTTACTGGTATACATTAGTATAATTTCTATGCATTTAATATATTTATAAGTTATAAGTATATTTAAATCGAAAGAAAGTTACTAGTAAAAGCTCGTTTACATTTAAAGTAATACCCTACTATTCACATATGATCTCCCTTATATAAATTTACCTTTAGATTAGTTAATATTATTTAAACTAATATAATTTTAGTAAATTCTCTGCTTTTGCTATCGTTCAAGTTTATGATATAATGAATAGTTGTTCAATTTGTTGTGTTAATCCTAATTTTTCTAATATCTGTATTGCAATCCATTCTCTTAAAACCATTTCAAGATCCACCTTAGGTATGTTTCTAAAATCTTTAGAGCAGCTGCCACAAGGATTTAATCTTTGAAATTAAAGCCAAAATAATATACTATAGATATATATATTTCCCACCCACAGGACATCCAAAAGGCGTTCTTCCTGCTGCTGCTGGTGATCCTCATCGGGGAGTTCTTCAGCGCTCCGGCGATCACTTTGGCGGACTCGGCGGTGATAACATTGCTGGGCGAGGATGCGGACAAGTATGGGCACCAGCGAATGTTCGGCTCTTTGGGATGGGGCATCTCCATGTTCCTGGTGGGCATCGCCCTCGATCACTCCACCTCGTTCTCGAACCATCCTTGCGGAGCGGGAAACAAGGAGAAGAACTACAACATCTGCTTCTCCATCTTCTCCGTGCTGATGACCTGTGCGATTATCTCCGCCTCGAAGATCACCTTCAAGTACGATCCCATCGATGAGCAGATGGCCGCCGCCCAGCAGCAGGCGCAGTTCGTGGATCCCAACAAGCGGGCCGAGGAGGAGTCGATGAACCAGTTGGCCGCCCAACTGAATCTGCCCTCGCTGGCCGTTGGTAGCGGCAGTGCCGCCTCGGGTGCCTCCGCCGGTGGCGTTAGTACCTTCCTGGCCGCTGGCCACCAGCCACAGCCGCACATTGGGGCCGAGTCCAAGGTCTTCGCCCAGACGGCCAAGGAGCTGCCGGAGTGGATGACCGTGCTGACCCACTTCAAGGACCTGAAGACCGCCTCCTTCCTGTTCGTCGCCTGGTTCATGGGCTTCGGCATTGGCCTGATATTCACCTTTCTGTTCTGGCATCTCCAGGACTACGGTGGCACTCCCACCCTGTTCGGTGTGGCCTCGGTCATCAATCATGTCTCCGAGATTTTTGCCTACTTCTTTAGCTTCCGTCTGATCACCCAAATCGGTCATGTCAAGGTTTTGTGTCTGGGTTTAGTTGGCAATGTCCTGCGCTTCCTTTACATTTCCTATCTGACCAATCCGTGGATGGTTCTGCCCTTCGAGCTGATGCAGGGCATCACCCATGCAGCCGTTTGGGCCGCCTCCTGTTCTTACATTGCCCACAATACCCCCAAGCACCTGAGAGCCTCGGCTCAGGGCGTCCTCCAGGGCATCCACCACGGATTGGGTCGCGGCTGCGGCGCCATCATTGGCGGCATGTTCGTCACCTACTACGGTACTACTACTACCTTCCGCTGGTACGGCATCGCCTGCCTCTTCGTCCTCGGCTTCTTCATCTTCGTCAACTTCTATCGCAAGGAGCAGGGCTTCATCTCGGAGATACCAGTCACCGAGGATCCGCATCAGGTGAGTTTTGGGGATATGAATGGGGATTATATAACTAGGGTTATCAGAAAAAAGTGAAAAAAATATTTTAAAAAGTTAAAAGTTTTTTAAAAATAATAATTTTTGATAGTCTGTGGTTTTATTGACAGTTGCAGATTTTTTAAATCTCTTTTAAAAGTGTCTAAAAGTATGCTACGGGAAAAATACGTTTTTCAAAATGGTTCCCACTTACTTAAACATATATTGTTGCCTACTTTTAGACACCTTTTAAAGTCTTTCTTAGTTAAATAGCTTAACTAATTTCCCTCCTTTCAGGTGGCCGAGGAGACCTCGCATCTGGCTCCCCACGGCGTTCCCAGCAATCCCATACCAAGGGCTCTCTCCAATTCGCGTCTAAACGAGATGAACCCCAATGGAGGACCGTATGGCACCTACCAGACCACTGGCGGCAATCTGGATATTCCCGGAGCCAACCAGCACAATCCATTCGCTCAGTAAACAGTCGGCATTCAGCCCATCCACATACTCACAGAACTAAAACGAACAAAGTATAACCGCAAACATATCTTGGACATTGGCCTGCAATATGAATTGCATAACTGCATTGCTTTATTTTGATTTGTTGGGCAATCAACATACGATCTACACATAGCATAGCATATACATATACACATATATATATTTTATATAGGACCTGCCACATAGCCATAGCATAACGATTCCGTATTAGTTAGATTGGTTACAGTCGATGGAGGAGAGAGTAGGGGGAGATCGAAACGAATTTTCACATAGCAGCTTAGCAATATACATAGGGCAATATATGTGTGTGTACGGATAGATGTATATATATATATTGTGCCGATCTATAATATTTATAGGCCTTTTTATATCAGTTGCATGTTAGTTAGTTTTGAGTTTCGAACATGCCGAGTTTGTTGCCTGCTTTTGGGCGATCACCAAAGCAAATCACACCCCCGAATCGAATCACACATAAAGTACCTATACAACTATGCAAGCAACCTAATCAGAGATTGAGATACTTAAAACACCAATAGCAAATGTGAATACGGGGCGTTTCAAGGCTACAGGACATCGGGAAGCAGTGGGAGCTGCTTCGTTTAGCCGCAGTTGATTATGACTATGATGTTCACTATACTATCTTATAGTATTAATTTAGATTATCCCTTGTCTTATGGCTTTGAAACGCACCGTATGGGTTTCCCAATAAGTTAGGGGAGTTTCTTGTAAGGAAAAACCAAAAAGCTAATTTGTAATTAAATTATTTTACATTTGAAATACGTTTCGAAGAGGATAAGTTCTTGGTTTCACACATTTTAAGAATTTCAATTTGTTGAAAATTTGAGGAGACACTGTCATTTCCAAAATTGTCCTATGCAATATTACATAGAAAGAAAATTAAGTAATTTAAAGGAATATGTACTATGAAATATAAATGTAGTTGCATTGAAAAACCTAAATCTAAACTAAAACTTAAACAAAATTAGAGATGAGAACAAGCAAATAAAAGAAAAGAAATTTAAACCAAAACATAAAACAAATGTTGTAACGATTGATATTATCGAAGTCCGCCTCATTGCAATCAACTGTTGAATATTTTAATTTTTACACAAATATACTAACAAAATGACATATTTTGACATACCTAAGGAAAACATATAAAATAGAAATATATAATATACGAGTTTATATATTATAGTATATGAAAGTTGACGCACCAAAGTGAAAAGTGAAAAGGCAAACTAAACTGTATCTGTACCTAAGAGATATTTTTCCTGATTTCAGCTCGACGATATTTGTAAGCTAATATAGCAAATCTCTCGCTCGATATACATAAACATTAAAATATACAATACTGTAAACATTATAATTAAATATTGTTGATAGCAAATTTGATTGGATATTTTCTAGTTACAATACGCTAGTTCTTGTGTACAGCACCATATTTCTGGACATTTTTCGGGTAGATGAACCTTAGTATTATGCATTCTGTACAACTGCACTCACAGTTATGTTTGTTGAGCCCGTATTTAAAGAAAAAAACTCTCTCTATATATATATTAAAAAAGAAAACAAACAAAAAAAAATACTCATATATGGTATATACACTTATATAAGAATGTACAAGTATTATACACAATGCGCATACATATGATACAAAGGATACAATACCCAACCCGAAAAAACCGAGAACCCCAAATGACAAGTGAAGTAGACGGAAATAACAAGAAATCATGTAATTATGTATGTTTAATAAAACGTTTAACTACCGAGTGAAGTCTAAAGACAAAGGCACAAATTCTTTTGCCCACCAGCTGTGTTTGTTCTTGGTCTTTATTGTGGTAGCCAATATAAATCGGAGCTGTCAGTTGCGATGAGTAAATAAAATGCGACTCGCGTTGGCATTCTTTTGTTGGCAGTTCTGCTTGGCTTTTGGTCAGGTTAATGGAACAACGGCTTATTCACCACCAAAAGCACCACCTGTGGTTCGCCCACTGCCAGGTGATAGTCCGAGGAGAGCTCCACCACCGATCAGACCTGTTCCAAGACCACCGCCACCCAGGCCAAAACCACCACCGCTTCCCAGGCCAACACCACCGCGATTTGTTCGACCTCCTACAGCACCACCCATCAAGATACCAACGATTCCGCGACCCAAACCCACCAGACGAGTTATCATAACAAGGAGACCGACAATAAGGAGCCCCAAGCCACCAGTGACACCAAGACCCGTCTTAATACCAACCACTCGAAGATTTCTGATTTGGTCACGAATTCCAACTAGAATATTACCCACTAGACCAAATATAAGGCCCACCTTATGGACTAGGCCACCAGTGCGTCCTCCATTACCAACTATACGTCCAACACGTCCCAGAGTGGGTCCTACCTTATGGACAAGACCTCCAGTACGACCAACCATTAGACCTACGATAAGACCACCAGTAACCAATCGACCCATTCCGACAAATCCCACAAGAAGAGCAACCTTATGGACAAGACCCCCCATTGGATCCTCTCCGCCCACAAGACCTCCAGTTAGAGCCACCCAACCTCGGTCGACTTTATGGACTAGGCCCCAAGTTAGAACCACTAGACGTTTAACTTTTATTTTTAACGAACCCACGACACCGATTGTACGACCCATTCAAACCACAAGACCTCCAAATCCGGACATAACTCGATCCACAAGAAGCCTGATATTTGTGTTTCCAAGGGATACCACTTCAATCGCTCGTCGGACCAATTGGACTGTTCATCCGACAAATCGTCCGAGAAGAGGATTTTTAGTTACCACTATGAGAGCATAAGCAAAATGAATAACCTGAAATAAAGCCGGGTATTATTTTGGAAATGTAAGATCTGCATTCACGCGATATTAAATTCTGTATGTCCTTGCATAAAGCTTTAAGTGCACATTAAAGCGGATAATGCTTGACTTTAGGGTACCCCATTAAAGAAATTATCAGAATAAAAATGGTTGTATTAAACATTAAAACATTATGGATACTTTAATTGATATATCTTGTATGGATACCGCGAAGTTGTATATTAATTTATTTTTATAGAATTTTATAATTTAAAATAGATAATTGAAATACCAAATATTTGGAAAACAAAAATCGAAATACTCCCACAGCAAATGATAGTTTTTAGATTTTTGTTTCTGCTTTACAAATTTCTTTATTCTTCATTACAGAAATGTACATTGCACAAATATCAACAACATTATTCCTTTACAGTAGTTAATTTCCATTTTCTAGTTTAATTTACGCGTAACGCTAGTCAGATAGACTTTTCATTGCTCTCAGCTTAACTAAACTAAAACTGAGTTTTATGCACAGCAAATTTGGCGGAGTCCGTCTTTAACGACCCCATCTCCATGACAAATAACCCCGAAGTGCCAACATACCCAACCTAGATATGCAAGGAAACTGGAGGGGGTTTGGGGGAAAAAAAGTAGTTGTGGCATACCGGAAACGCTTCAAGTTTGCTGAGCTCATTCGTCTCTGCGATTTGTTGGCATTTCAACGGGCTGACGTGCTGGCTGCCAGTGGGCGGCATGATGAGGGGGCGTGCCGGGTGGCTGGGCGGTGGGCTGTGGGTGGGGGCGTGGTGCAGTGCCTGCTCATGCAATGATAAATGAAGTTTTAGTGGCTTTTGACCCATTTAATAAATTGTTAAAGTTGAAGAATGCGCAAGAATATTGTAAACTTGTTGGCCGCCATTTCTTTTTCTCTCTCTTCCTTTTATTTATTTTTTATTTCCATTTTTATTTGTATTTAAAGTTTATTTTTATTTTTATTTAGTTGCTGTGTGCGCATTCTGAATTAGGGTTAATTTAAAAGTTGCCCATTGCAACACTGACCCATGGTGGAGTGAAGTTGTTGCCATGTTGCAAACTTTGCCGCTCACTTTTCATGCCCCACTTCAGAAGTTTTGTTGAATTTTAAATAATTCTGTTAAATTGCATAACGTGTCCAGCTGTCCGGCACTCCATCCTCCGTCGTCCGAGGAACTTTGGACTTTCTGCTTATTAAGTTAGCGGCGACGACAGTTTTCAGTTAACGTGATTATGTGCCATTAAAAAATTGTATATTATCCACGGGCCACAGAAGGATGAAGGAAAAACTCGACTCAAATATCCATGACAATAAATAAGGAAAAGCGGATGGCAAGGGGAATTTCGGGGGGAATCCTCTCTAGCCATAATAAGCAGCATAAAAAGTCCTGGCAGGGCTCTATTAGAGCCAGGACTAAGCAGCTTGGTCTGTCCTCTTGGAACCAAGCCCCCCCCCACCCAAAAAAAAAATAGAAAAAATATAAAGTATGCGCTGGCAACTCTTCCTCGCGGTATCCTTTTGGCCCCCACTCCTTGTCAAATATATACATCCCCAACTATATAAACAATTTTCTTTTATGCAAGAATAACAAGCAACAAGAATGGATTTTTGCATAAGAAAGCCCCGGACTGAAGTTGAAGTACGATGGCATAGCGAAAATCCTCGCAAGGAAGCTGCTGCACAAAAGTCGGGGCCAAATGCAATCCGAGCTTTGTTGCGTTGCCATGAACAATCGGACAGGCAGGCTTGGCTTTTGATTGGGGGATTAATGGGGGGTCGCTCCGGGGATTCCTGGGGCGGTATCAAAAAGTGGATATCAATGCGTGGGCATGCATCCAATATATGTGTGTGGTTGGTGACCTATTTGGATCCGACCCTTTGAGCCTCGGCCTTTTAATTCCAAGTGTTGTGATTTATTCCTGAATTTATCGGCTAGATGGGAAATCACTTTATTAAAAATATTCGTATATAAATGGAATAATCGTTGATAAATTTAGTTACCTTATTTATGCATTTAAGTTTATTTGAATTTTTCAATTTACATTTAATTTATTACTGTTAAGAGCAAACTATTTTCTTCTTAAAATACTTTTTCATATTTAAATAAGTTTTTTATTTTTAATATTTGATCTTGGCCACCCCACTTTATTTTCAATTTAAGCCCCTGAAAAATGATTATCTTAAAAGTTTTCACTGTTTCCCAGTTTCTGCCATAGCTTATGTTAAAGGCAACATTTGCAAGGGAACCGCAAAGATGAGGCTGCCGAAGAAAACTTCGACTGCACGGGGTGAAAAGTGAGGAAAAGTGGAAACCAAGAGCAGAGAGCAATGTCGACGACATTCAGCCGCAAGAAGTTGTCGCTGGGTGGCAAAAAAGGGGAAAAACGGGAAAAAAGGCGGGAAAAGTTGTGGGTGGCGGACAAAAAGTGCTGAGCATAAATAAGACATTTGCGTGTGTAAGCACCAACAGCACGCAAAACAACAACGATGGCTTAAAATAACTCCAACACGCAACATTGAAATGTGGCTAAGAAGAAAAGAAATACGAAGAAGAAGAAGCTGCTGACTCCGGTTCCAGGATCTGCAATAATTTTCAAACTGCTTTCGCCCCCGAGAATCTCGAAAGTTGCAAAAAGAAAATGTAATGCAAAATGCAAAGTCATCGCTCGCCGTTGTCCTCGAGTGGCTGTTACACCATCCCTCTTTTTTTTACCCCCCTTCACTATCCTTTTCCCTCAATCATCTATACCCCCCTCTACTTTTCTTTTTTTTAAACATACAAAATTTTGAAATAAATATCTTATAAGCAAAACAAATCTCCATTAATTTGATGTCTGAAAAAATGTTACAAAAAATTTTACAATTAAAATTGTACTTTTTTAAGTATTAAAATAACTTTAACATCTTTAAACATTTTGAAAAAGTATGAATGCTATTTGGTTGTTCTTATTAATACCAATCGAAGTTATGAGGAAATAATGTAATTCAAGCAGCTGAGTAACGGGTATCTGGTAGTCGAGGTATTTGATTTGTTTTGATTTTTCCTTCAGTGTGCAACCAATTGTTGTGATTTTTTTCTGTGCTCCGACTCGTGCACATGCATTTATTTAAATTCCTTTGTCCTCGTGTCTAGGAGTCCTTCGCCCACCCCCTCATTTCGCCAATGTATTCATTGTCTGTGAAATTGTTGTGTGTTTCCATGCCGTCGCATAATGTCTCTCTTTGCTCTCTACGTGAGCTCCTCATTCCGGCTTTTCCTCCCCTTTTCCACCCACAACCCCTTCGGGAGGTGCAATCCTTGTAGCGACTGCAGTTTGCGGTTTTTAACTTGTGACAGTTTTAAGTGGCTGCCGTTTGTCTCCGTGGCTAGATTCATTCACATTCACATAAGCAGGATGCCCAAGCACATACGTGGGTGCTCTGAGCTTTAGCCAAATTGTAATGCTCCTTATTTCGCTGCTTATGCATAAATCGTTGGCCATAATGATGCTAAGTAAGCAGCTCCATTTCCCCAGCTGAGATAAGCGCCATTTGAGCCTGATTAAATAAATCCGTATTCACAGAACGATTTGCTAAATTAACTTTGCGGCTTTTGGGTGTTTTGTAAAGATTGTTTTAGATGAAAGAATTTTAGATGTTGGGTATGATAAAGGAGAGGTTTTTGAATTTTTATACCCTTGCAGAGGGTATTATAATTTTGGTCAGAAGTTTGTAACGCAGTGAAGGAGACGTTTCCGACCCCATAAAGTATATATATTCTTGATCAGGATCAATAGGGGAGTCGATATAGCCATGTCCGTCTGTCCGTCTGTCCGTCTGTCCGTCTGTTTCAATACCGTTTGCGAGCTCAGTTTAAAAGCTAGCGCCTTGAAACTTTCACAGTCGTCCTAAAACATGTGTACGCAGATCAAGTTTGAAAGCCGACCCGATCGGACGTCTATATCCTATAGCTCCCATAGGAACAATCGGATATAGCTTTCACAAAAATGAAGATATTTCGCTCAGTGTAAGAGCTATTGGCATGAATCTTTCCAAATCGTATTTTTTTGTGCGTACCTTGATCAGGGTAAAAGCGCGTGCCGATCGGCCGTCTATATCTTATAGCTCCCATAGGAACAATAGGGTGAAATCGGTCAAAATTTGACGTTTTTCAGGATATTTCGCGCAAAATATTAGCTATTCCCATGAAACTTTCCAAATCGTATTTTTTTGTGCGTACCTTCATTAGGGTAAACGCGCGTGCCGATCGGGCGTCTATATCCTATAGCTCCCATAGGAACAATAGGGTGAAAAATTTTAAAATTTTATTTTTTCAATTATAAAATATTTTGTTGTTTATTAATTCATGTTGCTAGTCTAGTCAAGTTTTAATTCGTAAAATCTGCAAGGGTATTAAAACTTCGGCTTGCCGAAGTTAGCTTCCGTCCTCGTTTTAAATCATTTGTAAAGGGAATTAAATAAACTTAAATATATTCTGTATTACCACGTTAAAATTTTGGATAAATTTAACGATTTTAAATTTCCCAAATAATACCAAAATATTCTAGATACTTTTTTAATAAAATAATAGGGACTATAATATTTTTATATCGCTAATTAAGGATTAATGGTATAAAATGATCCGTAAAAAATCGATCCTTGGTAATGGATTATTTTCTAGGAGATTTATCTTAACGTATTACGTATACGCAGTGTTTCTTGTTTGTAAAACTGAGTTTATTAACTTTTTCCTTAGTAAAGAAACATTAGTTTAACTTTAAAACTTTAAAAAATACCTTTTCAAGTTGCTTTTTTTTCTGTTCATGAAGTGCTAAAAAACACTTTTACTTGCATTTTTCAAAGGGTTCCAGATTCTTTGACTGCCTTGGTTTCCGCCTATCTTTCAAAGTTTCTTCCGCTTTCCTGGCCATTTGGTTTTCAATCACGCCTCCTCAGCAGGAGAACCAGCTGGATTCGCCTGCATTTGC